CATATGAATGGCACATTGTCCGCATAAATTTGCCATTGAGTGGGACTGTGTTGGGGTCTCTGAGGTCTCTGAGATGCCTGGGTTCGCCGGAGTGGTGGCTTCTATGCCCTGTGGTCACTTGACATCTTAAGCGGCGACCTCGAGGCGCCTGCGAAAAGAGTTTCCGGTATTTGGGCGCACTCCGGGGTTATCCTTGGGGTTATCCAGCTACCATTTCGGGGATGCTCCAACCTTTTAATGTGCCATTCTACCGACGCGTCACACATAATTATGGCGGATGTGCTGCCCAACGAAGCGTTAAGTCGAATTCTCGGTTCCTCCAGCATTTTACCCCACCGGAATATATGCCGACATCTTTCTCCTCGGAGTTGCCAGCTGCCATTTGTGCCCTTTCATGGCTTTCAGGCCATGCATGTATTTTATTTTTTATGCATTATCATGTAACTTCTCTTTTCCTTTCCCTGCTGTTCCTGCTGTTATTGTTGTGGCGGCTGCGTCGTCTTTCATTATTATTTATGCTTTATTTATATTTGTACGCACTTCCTGGCCGTAAACCCCTTGCTCGGCGTATCCCACACGGCGTATGCGTCATGCACGCCTACATTTCAGGCTCGTGAATCAAAGGAGTAGAAGACACACATCCTATGACTTCTGTGACCATACTTCCATCTTCAACTCATTGTTATGCTAATGGCCTACGATATATGAATAATAAGCCCGACCAGAGCGCGACTGCTGCTGACCACACACTTCAGTCTGAGGCTCTGATTTCGAGAGCAGATCCTGTGGGTCCCGTGGAGTTCGTCCTTTGACGACAAGGACGACAGTTGTCGCTTCAGTTATGCAAATGCCGAGGAGGAAGTCGTCGGACACGAGGGAAGTGGTCGAATATTTGATATCTTTATATCTGTTTTCAAGAGCTACGCAAATTGTTTTCCTCTGTTTTTGTTCAGAGCTTCACAATTCAGATCCATAAGCCTCCTGTATGTTGGGTGTATTTCAGGGTGCAAAAAACCCAAAGGAAGTTTTAAGTTTAGTTGCGTTTCGGCATTCACGGAAGCTCTTAAAGGCACAACACGTGCATACATATGTATGTATGTATATCCATCGACTTAGGATGGGCGATGGCGAAAGGGATGAGTTGCCTGGCTTCGAGATGAGCAATCGTAAAATGCGAAATTTTATGTCTATACCAGCCTAACTGTTGCTTTGCTCCTGACTGCTCTTTTTTCCGGGACGGACCCCATAAATCCTGACTCGTGCTTTTTAATGCTCACCTTTTGTGCGTTTTGTTGGCTTGCAGCTCATTTGCCATTAATCCGGCGAAACTAAAAGTGAGATAAACAAACCCAGATGGACTAGCTGGCGAGTTTTTCGCCTTTTATAACCAGCACTCGTGGAGTTTATTCCGCGTGTGGTTAGGGTATTAAATAAATTAAATGTTATATAATTTTATATCGACAGCTAGGGAAAGTAGGTTTTGAAATAGACTAGATTAATTATTATACCAAAAAAAATTTAGAATCCTAAGGAGATGTGTTAAAAATATCCAAGATGTAGCATAGACAAGTGGTAATGATTTAATATAAGATAATATAAGTTCTATAGTCAGTAATAGTAATTTTTTACTTATTTTAAAGTTTTAATTTTGTAGTGATGTAAGTTTGTTAAGATGCTCATTAACTAATAAATAATTATGTGATAATATTGTGCATTGGCTCCAAGTCTTCTGCTTGATTTGCTGTTCCTTTTTTATTACCTCTGGAACTTGTGATATTTATTCCCTTGTTGTGACCCCATTTTTATGTGGCCCAGGCACGTTTTATTTGTTTAAAGAACTATTAAAATGGCATAAACAGGAACTCGAATGGCGATGGCAATCGCACTGGTGGGCCAACTGGACTGGTGGACTGTTGGACTGGCTAACTGGCAGTGCCAAAGTTTTATCTGGCCGAGAATGGTGGAGTGGGTGTTGTAGGTGGTCCAGCTGGTGCTGCTGCATTGTTGTTGCTCGTATTTGATTATCGCATTTCATTTTGTGTCGGGTGAATGTAGAAAGTTGAATGCAAATTTGCATGACACCAACAGAAGCGGCCAGTGGGTGGCTGTGGCTGTGGGTGGTGATGATGATGATGATGAGGGTGGGTTAGGGGGAGGGCAACAATCACACCAAGCATCATCATCATAATAATAACAAAGCAGCCAGAGCAACACTGCCCCATCCTGAGGTCCCTTTTTGTTTATATTCGTATTTTTTTCCATCCTCCTTCCTTATTTTTACCCCCTATTGTTGCCGCCCAGGCTGTCAAAGTTTTTAGGTATCATTTCAGTTTATTTGAATTATTCATAATCCGGACGGCAGCGTAAGAAACAAACAGCAACTCAGACAAGGCCGGCAGCCAGCAGAAAAGCTGAAAAAGCTGGCCAAAGATAACGGAAGCAGCAAATAAAAATCATTCATTGTAAACATTTTCCCCATAGCTGCAGAAGCAAAAGTTTTTTTGGGCCAAACAAAAGGGAAACGTAGCCGCAGCTCAAATTCGATTCAATCAACAGAAAGAAATATGGAAATCCCACAGCCATAAAAACGCAAAAAATTCGCACCATATTTCGGGGCAAACTGTAAATTAAGTGAAACATTAAATATTTAACTTTTGGGGGAATTAACTTTTGGGCTCTTCCATCCAATCGCACCTGTTGAGCTGTTCTGGGAACTCTGAGAACCCTTTTTCGGCAGCCATAAGTATCCCCCTCAAGTGCGCCCATGCAACACGCAAATGCCTAATAGTCAAAGTTTACTTTCCACTTTCTCTCCGTTTGTTGTTCTTGCCACAAGAGTTTTGGCTTACTTTCTTCTATAGCAGGTATAGCTATTGAACTCTTGTTTGACTCATACTAAAATGTGCAATAAATTGAGCACTTCCTGGGGCTTCAGAGGGAGCAGATAGGGCTGAGGGGGGCACAGGTGAGAGGTGGCCTCCACTCGGCTCACGACAGTCCTACGACAGTCACGCGATATCCTCCGCGCGATATAAATAGCAGGGCAGCGTGCCCGAAATGTTTGTAAAAATTGAATGTTGGTTAGAAAAGCAACACAGTCAATCACTCAGGCTTACTGACAAGATAAACACCACATGCACAGCGAAGAAAATATTTCTGTTAATCTCAGGAGGTTATGAAAACTATTTAATTTCAAAGAGAAGGAAAGCCAAAAACAAGATTAAAAATTTCAAATATTTCTGAGTAACCAAAAGGCAGACCATTGAATTTGTTCACAGAAAATTCTGCAAAAAATTCTCTATATTGACTGACATGTTGCCAAAAAAAGGTCAGAACAGTTAATATAATACCTCGTTCAGCTCGTAATTTGATTTCTAACGATTGGTATTAAAACATGTAAAATTTAATTTTTGCCCATTTTTGCAAAAAAAAAATGATTTTACAAAAAATATAACATTTTATTAGAAAATTTAGTTTAACGGTAATCGGAGATGGAGATCGTTAGCTTATGGTGTTAGGCTTCCAAAGCAGTCATTATTTTAGCTGTACGCCTTGGTTTAATGAAGTTATGATTGAAAAACAGCTATAAATGGGCAATTTGGCCAGAAATTTTAATCCCTATTTTTTGTTTGAGAATATGAGAGGTTATGCCTCGCTAACCCTGAAAAAGAAATACAAGTCGGCGTTATATTTTACCCAAGTTACTTTTATTTAATATATCTACAAAGACAAACCTGATTTTTCTAAGTGACTGAGCAGATAGGCGGAAAATAAAGAGGTGTGGGAGCAGCGGGAAATTAGCACAAACTATGCCGCAAGAAAAGTTAGTTGCGAAGCCTAATAAGCGGCGCCCATGGACTAGGGAGTCCTTTACCCACCCCCCACAACCATCATCCGCCCAGTTGGCCGACGAATTGCCAACGTTTTCACTTTCACATTTGCGTGCTGCCGCTGACGTCGCTGCCTTTTGCCCTCTGCCGCTGTCGGCGTCGCTGTCGTCGCATTGCGAATTCCTGGCAGCAGCTGGCAAAGTTTTAGCATACTTTTCGGCGGCGGCGACAGTATTTTTTGTGCACTTGACATGTTTTGACACGTTCCACGCTCGTTGCTCCTTCCAAAAACCTTTGGTAAAAAAGGGGAGAGGAGGCGAAGGAGGAGGAAGAGGTCCTGCTTCTGGCAGGACAAAGCATGTTCGCCTCGCCGCTGGAGTTCGATATTGTTTTGCGCGCCAAAAATGCCAACGATAATCTGGTGAGCTACCCACCACACCTGCCACCTGGCAACTCACCACGTTGCCCAGGACAACGGGCCATCGGTTGCCAAAGCAAACCCTTCCAATCCTTTTCGGCAGGACCTTTCCAGGCGACGCTTTCCGTTTGCTTACCTTTCGCCTGGTGTTGCTTTAGTTACTAACGAAGAGTCAGTCGGTCCACAGAAGTCCTTTTTTCCACGCTTGTTTTTCTTTGCAATAATTTCTGCCTGATTAACGCGTGAATATGTTAAATTATTAATTGGCCGGCCGGCGAGTTTTGCATTTAATGCTGCTGCCGCCGGAGGTGTGATGCGTTTGGAAAAAGTAATTGCTTTCGCCCCCTGACAAACCGGCTGACAACCAACAAGCGAAACAACCACCACCAACAACTTTGGCCGGTTAAATAAACAACACTACACAACACTCCACTCCACTCGATACAGTATACAAACCATATATGTATGTACGATATATCCACAAAAATATTTGCTGGCAATTAAGCCGGAGACTGTGAAAATTACGCGATCCATCAAACGCTGCCCGTGGGCGGCAGAGGTCGGGTATGCGAATGGCCGTGATGCAAATTGATGCAATATGCAAATGGCATTTTAATTAGTTTATTAATCGGCTGCGGCCTCCGCCCAGCAGCAGGTGCAATCGCTTGCCCATAATTTTCCGGCGGGCGAAGTGTAATTAATTTCTGACCCCCCTCTTATCACTGGAATTTTCTATCATTTTTTTTTCTCAGCCCCAATTGCTGCGGCAGCGGGACCGAAGCCATCGCAACGCGCTGCACTACTGTGCCGCGCAGGACGTCGACCGGAGCAAGGACCTCGTGGCGGCCGCCAGCATCGCGATCGCAGCCCCCGAGCTGCTGGAGTCGGCGGACGAGGATGGCTTCACCCCGCTCCACCTGGCGGTCATCCAGGGCAACCTGGCGATGGTCAACCTGCTACTGGCCAACAGGGCGGATGTGAATGCGGTGGACAACGAGGGCCACTCGGTGGTGCACTGGGCCACGGGTAAGAGAAATAAATAAATAATAGATTATTTTTAGAAAAATATTACTACAAACAGAACAGCTTCTCTTTTTCCCACAAAAAAGAATTAAATTAAATTAAATTATTTAATTCTTTATTTATAAGAATTTCTAGCGAAAAAGCAGATCTTTTTATTAAAGTCACTAGCATATTAATATATTTGGTAATCCTTATAACTACCTTGATTCGTAGTTAAAAAATTCAAGTAGTAGTTGTTGGAATCAAATCCTTCACTTTTCTAAAAATGCACTGATTTAATAACTATTTTTAATTGGTGGTCAAAAAACAAACTAATTTTGTTTAAACTATGTTTTTGTTCAAACAGAAGCTCACACTTGGGCAAGAAAATATTTACATTGTACCTACTAAATAAATATACAACTGCATGAATTACACTTGCAAATAATATATACTATTTATTTAGGACCGCAAGCATTTTCCAATCAATTTAATCTAAGGAAAAAAAATTATATGAAATATTGGCATTTAAAAAAGGCTATTTATAAAGTTCAATGTGTTAAATAATTAATTTGATTAATTTCGGCCGTCTGTGACAGAGATTATAACAAAGAATTTAATTAATGAAAAAATATAATTTCTATTAAATGCCATGAAAATTAGTAAAAATAATTTGATTAATGAAAAAATATAATTTTCATAAAATATAATTTTATTTCCTTTATCTAGTATGCGGTGAGGTGGAGTCCTTGCGAGCGGTCCTGGCGGCAGGAGCCAGTGTGGCCAAGCCGGACGCGAATGGCGGGACTCCTTTGCACTATGCCGCCCAGATGTGCGGAGCCAGTCACGATAGCAAACAGCAGGCCAGCTCCACGGCCAGTTCAAGGCTCTCCCTGGAGATCCTGGGCATCCTGCTGTCCCATCCCCAGAGCAGTGTGGATGTCCAGGACAAGGATGGTCGTCAGCCGCTCCTGTGGGCCGCTTCAGCGGGCTCAGCCAAGGCAGTGATTGCTTTGGTCAAGGCGGGGGCCAGAGTGGAGTCCTCCGATAAGTGGGTATAATCCTCCTTTAACCTTATACCACATATATATAATTTAACTACCTTCAGAGATGGCCTCACTGCTCTGCATTGTGCTGGTTCCCGGGGACACACTGAATGCATCGACACCCTGATTGGTCTGTGTGGCGCCCCCACCGATTTGATCGATTCAAATGGCTGCACAGCCCTGCATTATGCCGTCACCTTGGGTCATGCCGATGCCACTGCTAGATTGTTGGATTTGGAGGCGGATCCCAATCGCCAGGATCGCAAGGGACGCACACCAGCACATTGTGGCTGCTCCAAGGGGCAATTCGAGACCTTGAAGTTGCTCAAGGATCGTGGAGCAAATCTCTGGCTGCGCAATGCCAAGGGTGATTTGCCGCTCCACGAGGCAGCGGCTTCGGGGAGAAGAGAGCTCCTCGAATGGCTCCTTAACCAGCGACCCAAACAGGTGAACACCACTAGCAATGATGGAAGGAGTCTGCTTCACATTGCGGCAGCGAATGATTACACGGATATGTGTAAGCTGCTACTGGATTATGGGGCCGATGTGAATGGGGTGTATAGAAATTCCAGGGGATTGGTCTTAACACCTCTTGATGGAGCTCTGCAAAGGGGTCATCGCTCCACGGCCAAGTTCCTGCAGGCTAACGGCGGTCAGCCGGCCAACAAGGTGAGATTATCGAGTAGAAGAGCAGGGAATCCCTTCCACGAAACCAATGCCACCGATATGGTGAGACCTTTGAAATACGTGGAAAAGGAAGAACTACACGATCTGCGCAGCTCTAAAAAGTATGTGGTGTATCTAAAACACGCAGATTCGGATACTGGAAATGGTAATGGTAATAATAATGGTAATGGTAAGGTTGAAGATCCTGAAGGCGACTGCAGCTGCTCGGAGCAAACCTATCGCAAGGAACAGCGCTTGAAGCACGTCTGTCGTAGGCACAAGAGGCGGCAGCTGAGGCGAAGGACCAGCAGTTGTGGCGAGTCCAAGCACGAGCGATGCAGTGAAATCTGCCGATCCAAGAGTAACATTGAGATACGAAGACGCAAATCTAGGGAGAGATATGCGAGCTCTAGTGAATGGGAGGAGGAGGATGAGGATGACGAGGACTCCTGCGAGAACTGTTGCTATCACAAAAGAGAAAAGAATCGAGTGGTGGCCCGCAAGCGATCCACTTCCTCCAGGAAATCAAAAAACCGAGAAGATAGCGAGGAGGAGAAGTCTTCACCAGAGAAAGATTCAAGGAAACCGCTGACAGTTAATGGAGATCATCAGGCTGGGAACTCCAAGGATCAGAACAATCCAAAGGAGCGACAATCCTCGCCTACCAAGGAAGCCACCTTCATCAAGTCACCAAACCAAAGCGCCAGGAGTGAGAAACCCACTGAAATGGACAGTCTCGTGGTGGAGGAATCACATGCAGTGGAGCTGACCGACGAGGAGCAGGAGGCGGCGGCCAAGTCGGTGGTGACTCAGGTGGATGTCCATCATGAACCAGAGGAGAATCACAACTCCAAATCCTCCGAGGAATTACCAGAGGAAAATGGCAGGGAAAAAGAGGATGTGAAGCTGCAGCTGAGCGAGGAGGAAACCCAGTTGGTAACGAAAGAGGTAGAACAGGTGATCAAAATAGCAGCCACGGCGTTGAGCAGCGAGTCCAAGAGTTCCTCCAGTGAGGAAAGGCCAGCGGAAAGCACCGAAGCACCTGCTGAAAAACCTGAAGAGGAGGTTGAGGAATCCCCAAAGCCTGTAAGCCCCCCTAAACCTGCCACGCCCCCTTCACCACCCAAAGAAGAGGCCGCTAAGCCACCGAGTGCCGCAGAGAAACCACAGCCAAATGCCAACACGGTCGAAGGGGTTGAGTCTGCGGCTTCAGGGAAAAAAGTCGAGCAGCTGGAGGAGGCTGAAGCCAAACCGAAACCTAATACTCCCACTCCCCCGACCACTGCTCATCCTCCTCCCTCTGCCCCAACTGAGCCGAAAAAGCCGCCAACCGCACCACAGCCACGCCCCTCCACACCCACCACCCCAAACAACACCAGCAGCCAGCCGGAGCCACCGCAAAGGGAACAGGAGACGAGGCGCTCCTTCACACTCCTGCCCTCCGATTCGGCGGACGATGACCCAGTTCCAAACCCAAATCAGAACTCTAATCCTGCAGCCTCAGCTTCCGATGAGCCAACTGCCAACGAGCGGAAATCGAGCTTCCAAGTGCTGAAAAGCGATGACTCCCTGGATGAGAAGACCAAGAGACCTGGACCTCCTCGCAAGGTGGAGTACGAGACATCCAATCAAGTCTTTCAGGTGGTCAGCGAGGGGGGAGGATCCGGGGTCCAGCTGCCCAGTGCCGCGGAGCTGGAGAAGATGGAGTATGAGTACGAGGAGTACGACGATGAATACGATGATGATGAGAGGGATGGCTTGGATCCGGAGCATGATAGTGCCCTGCGTCGCTTCCTCAGCAGCGGAAATCGACATGGAGTGGGGAGTTCAGGAGCAGTTGGTTTAGGAGGAGGAGGAGCAGCTGGAGGATCCATAGCAGATGACACATCGGAGGGCATGGGAGGTAATGGAAGGAAGCGACGGCTCAAAAAGCGCGTGCGCAGCGGCAACAAAACGCGCAGCAATTGGAAAAACTCTCAGGATTCGCGAGATGGCAGCCATATGGTCGCCTTGGCCACCACCAGCAAGGATCAGGACTCGGGATTCGAGCCAAGTCCGCGGGCGGAGCGCAGCAAGATACCCACTCTGCGTTCGGCCCACACGGCCCACATGCCGCGTAAGCCCATCTACGCCACTCTGGACGGAAGGTCCTGCAGCAGCAGGATGGAGAACCGCAAGCCAGGCGATAAGGGAGCCTGCGACATGGGCGCCGTCACCCGATCCATTCAGCGGAATATCAGGAGGTGAGTTTTTAGTTGAGAAAAAAGGGGTGTACGTTTAAAAACTATATATAAAGTAGCACAGAAATTACTTTGGGTTTTAAAATCGTTTACTAAGTAAAGTATAAGTATGCAATAATATTTGTAAAATACAGAAGAGCAACCGAATGATTCCCAAAAAATACCTTCTTTTTTTATTGAATACTTTTCGACACCTTCAAAAATAATTTTTTACTTGAAGGGATTTCTGTGTAATTTATTTCAACGATTTTGCCCAACGGATAAATTTTTATTGCAATTACCTTCAAAATGTGTCCATCTTTTGAACTTCAAATGCATGTCTAAAAGTATGCAAATATTTTGTTTAAATCCATAAGACGGATTTATTCCAAAAAGTATTTTCTTTTTAATTGCATACTATTTGACACCTTCAAAAATAATATTTAACTTGAAATGATTTCTGTGTAATTTATTTCGCCGATTGCATTATACCTTCAAAAGTGTCCCCCTTTTAAATTCCAAAATCCGCAGAAAATATGTAAAAAATCGATACATGCAAATGGTAATGGCAAACTTATAAATTATCCGATTTTTTTCCCTGAGCAAGCGGGACAGATTGGCCGTGATTGCGGGGAGTTTCGAGGGCCCCGGAGAGTTGATGGCGGGATTCATTCATTTAAATTAATCTCCAGGCAGTTAGTGGCGCCGGCGACTCTCCTGCCGCTGCTGCCTTTTTGGCCGTAGATTTATTTACTTGATGCTTGATTTTAATCAACTTGAATGTCCCACTGCCCGACTCGCCTCGCATCTCGCATTATATCACGCGCGCACTTCAGCTCCGCAGTTGCGGTATCCTCTTAATGTAATCAAACTGGACTGGAAGCCTGCCGCCTTAAAGTTAATTTAGCCAGGGATTTAATAGCCTGGACGGCATTTCTCATTTCTTTTCTTGGTTTCCCTCTTCACTTTTTGTTTGCTCCATTGTTGCGCTGGTCAGCAAATAAATTGCCGGCTTCCGTTCGCCATAAAAAGGCGAGCGCTTTAAAGTTATTATAATGCGGTTAAAGGCAATAAACGCGGCATTAATGTTCATTTTCCGTGTACTTGAGCATGAACTATGAACCGCTGTCCGCCGTTGATTTTAAGCCTTGAGGATTAAGTGTGTGAATAACAGGTGGTAAGAGGTGCACATTTATTGGTGACAACTTAATTTTCTACGCCTTAATTACGTGGAAAATGAAAAGAAATGTGCTTCTTGGTCAGTTAAATCATAAATCATAATTAGGTCAAGTCCAGCAACGCACCAAATATCCTGGCTGATTTATTCCAGTGCCCTCGAATCTCGTCCGCTGCCAAAGCTCGCTTGTCATTAGCCGAAATGCTCATTTCCGGCAAAGAGTTGCGCATTTTAATTAGCTGCACGAAATCAGAACCAGAATTTCAACCGGAGGAAGGTAAAGAGAAAGTGGCGAAAAGGTGGGTTGTTTTGTTTATGCCGAAACTTGAACAAAATATGAAAATTAGCCGCAAGCAGGCAGTCTCGTTCTCTTCGCTGTGAAGCAAAGTCTTTGGCTTCGTTTACAACTCGCTAATGCTAATTGTAAATGGAATTAGTGCAGATTAGCGAGAGCATTTTTAGAGGGACGATTACCATTTGTGTTCGCTCTTCGTTTGCGGGCTTGTTTCCGGAAATCCTTTTTTGGCGCCCCCGGGGGGATTTTCCTGGCACACTAGCAATGAAAGGGAAACTCGCGTGTGGCCCTAATTTAATTTTGTCATTCTTCGGCGGATCGATGGCCGTAAGCTGTTGCTCAAACTTAAAAGTCAATTGTATTTATTTTTGGTATTTGCATAAGCCACGGCCCGCAAAACTTAATTAAAAAGCGTAAGCTGACTTTTATTAATTTTGCTAATCTGCCTTGTAGCCCATGAATAAATTTGCAAACATTCACCGAGAAAGAAAAACAAAACAAAACAATAACGTAACGAAAACAGAAGCGAAACGGAAATCTCCGGCCGGCGAGCGCATTTCATAAATAATTCTTTCCACTTGACTAATGAAAATATTTAACTCGGCTGTTTGCATAAGCCAAAGGAGGGGAAAACGAGGAGGAAACCAGGAGAAAGCTGAGATTGCGCCATGTTAAGGTTTCGACAAATACGCGGCGTATACGCAATGTACGCAAAACCGAAAGTCAAACAAGTGTCTTGCTCAGCAACTTTCCGAACAAGTTCCTCAACAAGTCGGCTGGGGGTGAGTCAATTAATTCCCGAAGAAGAATATACGCCTGGGCATCGGTGTGGGCGAAAATCCAAATAGAATTTGCGAGGCAAAAAAAAGTAAAAATAAAAAGTAAAAAGTGAATCCATAGCTCCCAGTCGAATACTTTTTGCGGAGTGGAGGGGGAAGTTTCAGGGGGTGTCGACCAGGAAAATACCATGAAAAGTGTGTAAATAGAGACTTTATTTTATTTCGTTTTTGTATTTTTCATTTTCATTTTCATTTTATTTTTCGCATTCGCATGCTTTCACACACACACACAGACCGAAAGACCAGGCAACTTTATTTTGTTTCCTCGTTTTGGCTCCGAAGAGATTAAAATTTTATCTGACGCATAAATTAAACAAATAACTTACGAGTTTGTGTGTCCCAGCAGCAGCACAGGTGAGATTTGGGATTTATAATGTGCGCTCACGTAATTGACGTTGTTAAATATTTGGATTTCGTTTTCCATCCCGACCCCAAGTTTATCTGTTGTCCTTGGGCCTTGTCCTGATTTCCTTCTCCTTTTTTTTTGGTTCGTGACGGGATTAGGCATATTTGTTGACCGACTTTAAAATGTTGATTCTGATATTCATGCACAGAAAAAAAATTTGATATGAAATGGGGTCATTTCTGGCTTATATTATATCAAATTTATGATTCAAACATATCATTTTGATATTATTTTTCTTGTATCTTGTATTTTTTTGACCAAATATTATAAAATAAAATAAAAAATTTAAACTGACCTGCAAATATCAATCTGATCTTTTATCAATTTTTTTTCCTGTGTGCCTTTACATAGTTGCATTGGAAAATTCATTAAACTTTGAGCGATTAGTTTAAGCCTTAACCTTTAAGACCCAGATATTCTTGGTTTTTCCCTGGAAAATCCAGCCAGTCAGCCAGCTAACCACTTGGCCAAGTTTGAAGCACGGGCTCAGAAATAGAGCCTTAATGAAAAATGAAGCGGTAAAGTTTTTCGGTTGGCCGCAGACTTTTCGCGAATTCTCCGGGGGTGCGACTTTGTCAACACTTTTTGGAGGCCATCGATTTTTCGGTAGGGTAGGTAGATATAGAGATAGGTATATAGATATAGGGATGCAGGTATGCCGGTATGCAGGCCACGTTGTTCGGGACAGCCATTAACACTTGGCAAAAGGTTCGCTCAGAGCTTTTGTGTTGCCTTGTGCTCGGTGGAAATTGCCGGCGGGCGGAATTCGTTGTTGCAACTTGTGCAGCGCTTAATTTCTTTGCATTTTGTTGTCGTTGTCAGCGCCTGGGAAAAGGAAAAGTGAGAGCTGCGCCTACTCACTACTGGTGGTGCTGACTTTGCCGCCGGCGGGTTTTCCACTTCATCCACTTTGCCGCTGCGTGCACTTTTTGCCTGTCACATTTGTGTCGCAAACAGGAAGAGGTGGGTGGAAAAGGTGGGTGGAAAAGGGGGCTGCCTTGCAAGGTGGCTGTCAGTCAGTGGGTCGTTTGGACGCTGGTGGCGGTGGAAAAATGTGCCACACAAAATCAACGCGCACAAGAAAATGAAATGAAAGTTGTACTAGGCGAACGAACGTAGAGCGGAAACGGAAATCAGTAGCAGCAGTAGTGAAAAGTGGGTGGGGAGAAAGCAAAAAAATATATGCCAAGGACACTATTGCAAAAAGTATTTGCACAAAGCGAAAGACTTGCAAAGAACTCAGGCGCAACCGAATGGAGCCAAAAGCGAGGCGTAAAATTGAAAAGCGCTTCGGCAAACAAGTGATGGCGATGGCGATGATGATGGCCAGAATGATGGCCAGAATGGCCACGATAAGGAGGGCCATGATGATAAAGAAGATGACCGACCGCCACTGGTGGGGCAGCAAAACAAGCGGAAGAACGATGGACCGCTTTGAAGTCGCGCTGCGGGATTTCTTCGGGGCCCTCGGCCAATTTATTACGCAGCTTTTGGCTCTCAAGGATTCTTACCTATTTATTACCTGGGCTCTCTGGCAAAACCATCCGCCCATCCATCCCACGAGCAATGAACTTTTGTTTCAAAGTCAAATTGTTTTGCATAATTTCGCGCTGCGCAGCCAAGTGGCGAGCAGTGTCAAGCGCTCGTCCTCCGCCTTTCGTCTCTCCTGGTTAAACAATTTTCGAAAAACGCCGCTCCAACCGAGAGACCGGCTTTTCTGCACTCCAAGTGCCCTCGACAAATTTGCTTAGTTTTTTCGGTGAATGCACCCCGCTTCTGCTCGGCGAAAGGCAAAAGGCTTGGACGTCATTCGTTGATTCAGAAGAGTCGCCGCAGAGTTAAGGGAGCAACTTTCAAGGGGCATATCCTTATCCTCATCCTTAAGCTTAAAGCCTGTTTGCCTAATTTTTAATAAAATTCCTAATAACATTTTACGGCTTAGAGGGCGCCGTTGGCGGCTTTAATTTGACTCCGCTGCCTTTCGCTGCCTTTCTCAATTATTAATAGAATTTTTTCCGCGTACGCACTTTAGTATTTTTGAAATTTTAATAACATGATGCCTTTTATTGCGATGCGAGATGGGAGAAAGAGCAGAAGAAGGTCCTTTGTCAGCGGAAACAGCAGGAGTCTGCCTTTGTTTGACTCGCGAAATATCAAAATGACAATTTACGTACATTTGCTAACATTTATTTTGCAAGGACAATGGGAAGCAGCCGACTGCGCTTTTCTCTGGTCCTTTGTTTATGGCTTGCCATCTTTTTCTCCATATCCTTACAGATACTACATGGAGCGCAAGATCTTCCAGCATCTGCTGGAGCTCAAGTCGCTGCAGATTCGCTCCAGCAAATTGAACGAGGCTGTGCTGGTTAAGCGGGCCGTGGACGACTACCACAAGTCCTGCGTCCTTTTGGGCGGCGAAACGGGCACGCGACTAAGGCGCTACAACTTCAGCGAGTACACGTTCAAGAACTTCGAGCTCTTTCTCTACGAGACGCTCAAGGGACTCCAGCGACCGGGCACCAACAACTTCCAGAACATCAACGAGGTGTACGAGGAGGTGGGTGGGGTGATGAGGGGGCGATGATTAAGTGCCCGTCTCCAACTGGCTCATCCAATTTCCTTCCATTTTGCAGGCGGAGCGGCGGCTCAGTCCGGATTACAATGCCTACGAGAAGGCGCTGCAGTGCACCACCAAGACGCACCGCTGCCTCCATGCGGCCCACGCCTACACGGGAATACCCTGCGCCGCCTACAGTGAGTAATCTTTTTGGGAGAAGCACTCGAAAGAATTTGGATGGCTACAGGAATTTTTATTTAAGCGGGAAAATTTTACAGAACTTTTTTATGTAGGAATAAAAAAATTCAACGTTTTAAGCTTCACTTAATTACCTACAGGTATTCACTTTACTTTAGTGGTATTATATATATTTAGTTATTATATTATATGTATTTTTGCTAAAAAGAATGGTCCAAAACTAAAATGTTCTGGCTTAAATGCCAAAGAATCAACGATGTATTACATTCTATGTTCGGACATTAAGTTCTTTTCACGAAATGTTAGGAGTTAGTTTCGAGGTTAAAAATTTAATTTTCGTCCAAGTTCAAACTAGAACTTAGAAAATTTAATATTTGTACACTCTTTAAATTTTTTATAAGGGGTTACATCATGACTTTTTGCGATGGATTAAAACCCAATCGATTTGGGATTTATTTACAAGCTCAAAGAGGTATTAAATTCCATGTTTGGACTATTACTTCCATTGATTCAGCCAAAATACCGAACAAAAGACGTAGCATAAAATTAAATTTTGACCAATTTTAATTGTTGTGTAGATACGTGTTTTCTTTTTATTTTACGTTTGAGGATTAGTAATAATTGCAGGTTGGATTTTATTATGTTTGAATTGTTAAACAAACTATGTATATGGATAAGAAAAAAACCCTCCATATAATCGGCTTATACTTATTTTATTTGCCAAAAAAGTTAAGAATAAACGGCTTTAACAAATTTTTTAAATAGTACGAATTTTTTTTAGACAGACCTACAATTTTTTTGTGTGCCGCGCCTTTGCCGCTCTTTCGATTGCTCGAGGGCTTTAAGCGGCTCTGTGCAAGCGTGAAAAATGGCACCAGACGGGCTTTTTCTTTGGCTTTAGCTTTGGCCAAAGAGTCAAATCGCCTGGTTAACAGTGGACTGGGTTGGCAACACTTTCTCCGGACAAACGGGCAGTGGGTCAAGCGTGGGACGAGCGGACACGGACACTCGAATTCAAAGCATCTCCTCCACGGCAGCCGGAGGGCATAAAAATATAAATCCTAATTACGAGCAGTTTATTCAGTGCGCGGGGCAAATTAAAAATATTCTCGACCCCGGCCTGCTGGCTTTCAACTTTTATTACATCTTCACTGGCTGGAGAGCCTTGCGCCGCCTCCTTCTCAAAAAAGGATGCGCGTCCTTTGGCTTAGGCCAAATTAAAAACGCATTCATTTGCCCTTGTTTATGCCGGGTTATTTTCCTGAAAGTAGCTAGTAATCCCAGTTGAGATGGCTCCTAATCCGGGCAGCCAAAAATGTACTCCTCACTTTCATTATTTTCTTTTTGTTTTTTTGTGACCATGCAATTCAGCTGAGTGGCGCACCTGGAGGATACCTAAATCCTATATCCCTTGCAGCAAATCCAACCATCATTAATCTAATGTGTTTTTGCATTTGCAGTTCCCATGATGAATCATCACACGATGCCAAAGTTCGGCTTTGGCCAGTACAAGAAGACCGGCAGCGTGAGCAGCTTCTTCCTGCCGAAAATCCTGACCAGCGGTCGTGCTGCCAGCGGAAGAGCGGGCGGTTTGGGAAGCGGTACAGGGGGCGGCACGGGCGGAAGTGCCAGCGGCAACCGCTGCAACCACAAGGTGGCTCTGGAATTGTCGCACGGCAAGAACAAACAGCTAATTTCACTGCCCGCAGAAAAGCTGGACAGCAATAAGCGGTACTACGTGACGTTCACAGTTAAGGACTCCTCGTCGCAGCAGCAGTGCAAGTAGTGCGTATGTATGCGTAATGTGGCGCACATTGCGTATACGCCATGGATGGATGGCCATTGGCGGGATCCTGCGCCCGCATCCTCAGGCTCCTTTTTATGCTGTTTCTGTTTTTGCTGCCGCTTCTGCTGTTGCTGCTGCTCCAAATGCATTAAAACAATGCCATCGCAACATTTTGTGTCGCTGCTCCCGCTGTTGCAGTTGCTTTTGCTGTTGCTGTTCCAGCAATTGTTGTGGCCACCCGTTGTCCGCGCTGCCTTTTTTCCATTCGCTTCCTGTCCGGGTTGCTGGAGTAATACCACGGAAAATGGGGGCTTTTGCAGGGTGTATCGCGGACGTATACACTTAGCCCATTAGGTGGGCAAAATTCAATTTATTAAGCTCAACTGAAAGCAGGCTCTTTGGCTTTTTAATTTTGAAGAACTAAAATTCCTAAAAGGGTTTTGTATTTCATAAATGTATGATTTTGCTGCAATTAAAAGTTATGTTACGAAGCATAAAGAAATAATATTTTAAATTTGACAATATGTCATTAATATTTAAAGATTCATTAAGTTTTAAGTTGAATAGTGAATTTTGAAAAGAACTTAGGTAGGGGAAATCAGAAATCACTAGTGGTATCTCAAGGTATCTACAAGTATGCTATTTAAAGAACTTTTGATTGAATTCATCCAACTTTTGTCCCTAAAATATTTTATTGCCTACTTTTAGGCAGTGATTTGAAAATACCGAAAAATTTATGAGTTAATTAATTCAGAAAAATAACATTTAACAAATTTAGTTTTCAAGTTGATTTCATTTAATAACTTACTTTAGATCAAAATGAGTTTTACTTTCAAAATATATTGTTGCTTACTTTTGGGCAGTGAATTTACAAATTTTAGAAATAATTGAATTCAGAAAAAATGACTTTAAATAAATTTTCATTTATTAACCATTAATAGGGCATAGAAAATTCGTACTATTACCTTTTACCATCGCTGTTGTTTCTGCTGCACTTTAAGATGGCCAACTGCTGATAATGGATGATGGCTCTGCTCTGCGGCTGTCAGTTGAAGTTGTCACGCCGGCAGCGATGCAGGCAGCAAAAGCAACAGCAAAAGCAGCAATTGCTAAGGCAACGGCAGCTTAAATTATGTGCTTCTCCAACCCCGGGCAGTTCAGTTGTTCAGTTGTTCGGTTGTTCGGTTGTTCAGCTCCGCGCTGTGTTGTTTGCCTGTTTCGTATTCTTTTTCGCCGTCTGTTTGTTTGTTTGTCCGTTGGCGCTGCCGCTGCGCTTTTATTTCAGTTTTTCATTATCATTTTTTGTCGCAGTCGCTGGGTTTTTGTTTGGGGTGGGGTTTGGGTCCTAATGCCACAGATAAGCGTTGTTATTAACGCTCGGCTTACCAGGACTAGGCGACAGGCGTGAGGACATGCCGCCCATCGTCGCTTTTGTCCAAGGGAAAAGGGAGTTGAAAGCAGGAGCAGCAGAAGCTACAGGAGCAAAGCAGATTCAGAATCAGCGAATGAATAAATGTAAAATATGTACCGTGCATTTCTTTGGCATTTCAACATTTTTACTTTATTTGCAATTTTATTTACTTGTCTGCTTGTGCGCCCTCCTTCCATTTTCCCCACCATACCATCTACCATTCAAGCCGTTGTTTGTTTGTTTGCTTACTTCGCGCTGAGTGCATTGTAAATGGAGAATAATTGCATTGCATACAAAAAGCGTCGCGATTTTTAAATTGTATAAGCGAGCAGCAGGAGCATCAGGAGCAGCAGCAGCAGTACAGCATCTACATCCGCCGTAAAATGATTTCTTTAAATATCAAATTATAAGAGCCGGAGTGCATAATAAATTCCGCATTTTAAGAGTTCTCGTTCTCGTTTCGCGTAGACCTAAGGCAGCTGTTGCAAAATAAACGTTGAAAATGTCTAAATTGAAGCGCGGCTGTTTCATGCATTTCGCACACACGAAAAGAGAGCAAAACAATGGCGGCCCACAAACCACCCACTCACCCACTCAACCGCCCACATGTCCTTGGCATAGATGCGAAAAGCGAGCTGATTGCTCGCTTCGCAGGCGCCGGTATCATTATTTCAGCATCTGCCCAAAACGACGACGACTGCTGACAAAAGGAACAGAACAGGCTGGCGAAAAAGGAAAACATTTTTACGGCATTCTCGGCATTTTGGCAGCCACCTCAGTTCCCATCCCCCTTTTCTCTTTATCCACCCGCTTTGGGCTTGTAAAACTGGATGGCATTCTTATGGCTGCCATGAATGTCAGTTGGAGAAGTGGCTCTTACAACCGCGACGACTGCAGCTGTCAGCTGAAGCCAGCCAAGCCAGCCAGCGATCGCAATAATCACCGGGCTCAATCGAAGCCATTATGAGTTTCACCAGGGCAACCGACCACTCGGCCATCCGACTGCTAATTGAATTCCAAACTGGCCGTTACACTCCTTTTGCCCATGCCTCTCCTGCGATGGGGTTGTCCTTTTTCCGTTGGCAGGACATTCAAGCTGGGGCAGTGCTGACCTAGCTAGCCTTAAAAATATGGAAATTCTGGGAAATTAATTAATAAACTCTGAAAGTTATTAAAGAAGTAAAAAAATAAATTTAATGATTTTTACTCCCCCGTATGACACTATATTTATGAAAAATTATTTTAAAGTGGAATTATTTTAAATAAACAAGATATTAAAAGACATTATATTGTATTCTATCTTTATTAATCTGTAGTTGATAAAAGAATACCTATAAATATTTAAAGTATTTTCCAATTTTCTGCAGAACTCTATTACAAATTTAAATTTAAAGTGGAATTATTTAAAATTAAAAAGCTTTTAAAAGCCATAACAATTCACATTTTTATTTTATGTGTCACTTTTCAAATTAAAAATATGTCAGTTATTTATTTTCAAATGCTTTTTAATTTATTTTCTAACTCATAATAATATGAATTATAATTATAATCGATACTAGTCCGAATGTCAGTCGCTGAAGTCGTACTCTGCCCCTTGAACAAAGAATAAAACCTGTTTGACCGAATTATGGCTGTTTGGGGGCCTTAATATTTCAACAGTCCTGTCCGGACTAAGTATGCCTTCGTGAGCGGTGACAGGATATTTGGAATAACCAAAGTCCAGGACGACCAGGGGCGTCGTTTAATTTATTTAAGCACGCTGCGGCTAAGGAGTCACATTCTCTTTTCGAGCGACAGGCATTTCTCCGTCGGAATCAGAGGAATCTGAAGGGAAGTGCGGAAGTGCGACTGACCCAGGATTTCATTTCGATTTGCGCACTTGCCAGCAAATCTTCGGATTTATGTGGCTTTATTTTTAGTCCGAGTGCTGCAAAGTGCGTTTGGGCCGGATGGATGGAAGAAACCCCCATCCCCCTTCCGTGTTGGAACTTAAAATTCCTGGCAATTGCCGGGCAAAAGCTGAAGCTGCAACGAAAGCGCTGGCCAGCAAATGAAAACGCCATAAAATTGACAACAAAAGCAATGGCAAATGGCGAAGGTAAGTTGGAAAGTAGAGTGAAAAGTAAATCCGCACGTGCCAACCGAAATTACGGGGAATACTTCAGCAGGGGATTGGAAATGCGAGACCACAATGCAGATTCCGAGCAGCATTTTGAAATTAAGCTCCGGCTTGAGCATGTCCTGGCATTCATAGGGTAAGTTCGGTCGGGTGTTCCATTACCAATCGATTTTCCTAATTCGGTTTCAAGCCGGTCCGGTTGCCAAAGTTGGTTCCCTAAGAACCCCGGCCACCAATTACCGAAAACGGTCATTCTCGAAAAGTTTTCATCACTGCAACACAGGTGAGTTATATAAACTTGGGGTAATTATTGAAACATGTACTTGGTACACCCAAAAAAAAGCTTGATATGAAACGATGATCAATTTGATATGGTTTCATTTTTTCCGCATATCGAAATGAAACCAGTTCGAATTTCAAATATGTCTTTCTCCCTGCCACTCATGTAACTTTAATCGCTATCTCGCTCTATTTTTAATTGAGAGAGTCTTTCTCTCTTTTTCGAAGTCAAAGAATCTCCGAGAGAGCGAATTCAGCAAAATGATAATATTTAATGTTAATTGTACGAGTATTGCATGGTAAAACCGATATGGGTATAAATAACGTATGCATTCGCATATCGATTTTTTATGTGTAGAGAAAGTGTGATTTCATTACTTATTATTAGTGAAAACTAAGCTAAAATGTAGGTGTTTGGCTGGGTGTTAGTTTCATTACCCATCGATTCGCCTACTCAGCTTGAAAGGCAATGCATTGCCAACACACACAAGTTTTGTGCTCTAAAAAGTGTGCAACAAATTACGACAAACAGACTTGCATTTGCAGAAAGTTTCCCGGCTGAAACTTTACCTTCTTGGGAGTTGGCGTTGCAAATTTCCCTCCAACTGTTTTAATCTCCTGTGCATGCCAAGGCCAACGCCCACCCAGTGCCCCGCCCCCCTTAAGCTTTACAGCCTTAATTCGAGCTCGTGTTTGGCTTTGGGGCAAAGGCAATGGGAAAAGGAGGTGGGCTGGCAAAGGATCCTTGTGCAAAGTAATGAAGGCGGTCTCCATTGACCGACCGCCTTGCCGATGTTTCGATTACGCGCCTCAAGTGGCAATCAGGCTGCAGACGGGGTTGCAGCCGGATTGCCGCAGGATTTGCTCCGCATTAATAACACTTAACCCCTGGCCAAAGTTGGGCAAACAGGATTCGGATTCGGGACTCCGATTTCCACCCACCGAAGTCGCGGCATTAATCTTCGCTTTGATGTCCAAATCGGCGGCTTAATTGGAATTGATTTGAAAACGGGAAATGGAAACGGGGTGCTTGGTTTGAATCTTGTTTATTTATTCAGTATTCGGTATTATTATTAACACACTCAGTAGTTTCGACTTAGTTTTAAATGTATTTCACTTTTAAGTTTTTCTGCTTTTCTCATTCGCCTTTTTTTAAATTTAATTTATTTATAAATCTAACTTTGCTTAAAAACAATCAGTTTGGTTTTGTCCAGAGTGACAGAGACAGAGAACGACAATGTGTTCCATTTATATGTATCTATATTTATATTTATATGTATATTTCAATTTCGATTTATTTCATTACGCATACGCACTGTATATTTTGCTAGTCTGCCATTTCACTTTATGTTTGAATATTTGAAATTAGAATTCGAATTACATTGGAGTATTGTGTAAACTGTATGGCGTATTATTATTATTATTATTATTATTATTTTTATGTGTCGTACTTTGCGCTCGGTTACCTTAGTTATTTATAACATTTACACTGAATTCGCATTTATTGTTTGTGTGTGGTAGTTTCGAGCCTATGTGTGAGTCTTGTGTGAGTGGAATTGCTGAGGACTCTTTATTCATTATGCACTCGAACATCGCCCACGTGGCTCTTGTTTGTTTGTTGTTTGTTTTCTGGCTTGTTATTCATCTTTTGGTAATAGAATATTCATGGCATGGCCATAAATAGCAACTGAAAGTGCCAAATCGGATTGGTTTGGAAAACAGTGGGTTCTCGGGGCCCAGAAAGAGTCATTCTAATTTGCCGGACAGCTGGATAGATGATAGGGCTTTAGCTGCTAATGAATCCTATATCGCTATGCAGACATCAATGGATGAATTGCCAGATATTTGCAGTTACCTAGTGCAAAGTCTGTGGGCCAATAACCAATAACTCTATGAGTCTAATTACACTTTCAATACACACGGCTTACTTAACTTAACTGGCTTACGGGCTAGTTGTTCATTAATTACAATTAGTATTTAATATTTAACATTTAAATGCAGTTTGATTAATGTTTGCCCGTTCTCTATATACATTCGATGGTGCAACAGCAAAATGAGTGTGAGTGTGTGGTATTTACAAGTTTTGGTATTTTGATTTCAGTTACAAGTTTGTAGCGTATTTATAGCGCAGCTTCATGGGTTCATAAATTTTTTATTTTTCTTTTTTTGATTTTTTCTAGGCAATTTCGACACTTAATGGCTGACAATTACAAAATGACTTATGCTTATCTGTCTCCTTAGACTTTTACACAATATACGATTTACCTTTTACGCTAATGCATTTAAATTTATGCTAAAAATTTACAGCTATGTCAAATGAAATGCCCGTGTGTGTGTGTGTAGCTGACTATGGTAGATATTTATTATTACTTTTTACAATTACTTCAGCGTTGGATCCAGGGTCGTAAATTCCAATTCGCCGCGCGGCAATATCAGATCCGGGTCTGCAATATACACTTTGGTTGGTTGGTATAAAACAAAATCAACAACAATGGCATATGTGTGTGTGGGGATTGTAGCATGTGTATGGGTGAGACATAAATTCATGTGAGAGTGAGTAATGAGTTTGAGTGTTAGAGTGGGTGTACGAGTGTAGATTCAGGAATAGAGAATAGAAACAAAGGCAAAAATGTTTATACCGATTAGTTTGGCTTGGTTTGGTTTAGTTGATTTGGTTTTGGATTGCTTTTTAGTTTCAGTTTCACAACACTTGCAAAATGACATCATAACACAGAGTGGCAAATTATGATTTGAGCGGCGAAAAGAAAAGAGAACCATTAGCAAATACGTAGCGAAAGCGTGACCAACAGTGCGCTGATAACAAAATAAATAGCAGCTAATAAAAAAGCAGCACAAACATGGAACAACGAACAATGAACAACGAATAGAAACAGAAACATTGAACAACAGAGACATCAACAACATTTAACGTGGAAGCATTTCAATATTAATATTCACTTTGCTCCGAGCACGCTTCCCATTTCGTCTTTCCCCCCTCGTAAACTTAAAATAATTCAACAATTTCTTAATTTTTATAGCGCATTTCGAGGGAATTTATGAGCGAGTCGAGTCGGGTTTTATTGTGGTCCGACTTATTGTGTCGCCTGGGCACAAGTGAATCTTGAGCGTCATCTAGCGCTTGTTGTTTACGATTTTGCAGTTTGTTATTTGACGGGGCACCCATCGCCCATCCAACCATCCACCCATCACCCTGTGATATTTTATTATTATCGCCTTTTATGTCACATTTGTGCGGCGTCTTTGAGCCATAAAGACGCGCACAAACTAAGGCAACTCTCTAGTGCGTCTATGTGTGTGTTTGGGTGTTCGTGTATTCGGGAGGTTGTGTCCTTTCACGTTTACTTTCACGCCATGCCTGACAGCATTAAAAAATGTCAAAAGTCGCAAAAATGTTGCCAACAAAAAGCGGAAAGAACCTCTAAAGGGAATGGTGCCAAAGAGGGGGTGGGGGGTTGGGCGGAAACGGAAGTGCGGCGACAAATGAATGAGCAGCGTTGACATTGAAGCTTCAGGAGAGCCTGTGCGTGTGTGCACTAAGAGAAAATTCGGTGTCAGAGATATTTCTAGATGTCTTTAAAAGTCAGCAGTTCAAAAAAGTTGTGAAAAGTTTAAAATTACTTTTCACAACTTTTTTTAATTTTATTCAAACAAAAACATCTTTTATTAAGGATAATAAATCTTTAAGAAATAAAGAACTGGTGCAATTTAAAAAAAATAATTAAATTATGTCCAAATTGAATTTTTTTAATGAAAAAACAAAAACATAAACCATTGATGCCCAAACATTTCTATAATATTTTTGATACAAAAATTCCCTTTAATTTCCACAAAATTGTAGAATTCTTTCAGAGTCCACAAATACTAGGAACTCAATTTGAATCCTCTTACAGTTCCAGCTACTTTTCTGGTTATTTCATTTTCCTCGGAAAACATTTTTTTCCCCGTGTAAAGCTTCTGCTGCCGCATAAACAATGTTGCTCAAGCAAATTCTGCGGCATTTTTTGCGGCATGACAGAGACATCAAAGTGAGAGCTTCGTAGCAGGGACACACATGTGCTTTAAGGAGTCTTTAAGATAATGCCACCCTATATAGCTATATAGCCCATATATATGTAGCCGCAGCAAATGGCGCCGTGTGCTCATTTCGAGTGGCTGCTGTGTGGCTGGGTCTCAACTTTGTCTAATTAGACGAGTGCCGCTGGAGTGCACATGGAGCGTAGAACCTACAGCCGGCAAACCTACAACATCTACAAGCTACAACCTACAACCCACTCGCATTACTTACAATCCAAATGCTCACACAAAAAGCCCGGCCAGCAAGGACGAAGGCCACACAAACGTGGCTCAGACTCGCGACTCTTGACTCGCACAAACAGCAAGACAAACAGCAACAATGAGACAAAAAGCTAGATGCTGGGCCAAAATGAATGGAGCAGCATGAAATGAAACAAATGTGCACAAAAAAGCAGTTCCATCCTCCGTTTTTTCCTTCCCTTCCCAACATCACCATACGCCATACGCAGCGATGACTGTGGGGCAAAAAAAAGTCAAACGAATTTGACTGCTCTGGGGGATTCGCCCTTCGGTTCAGTCCCCCTTCCCCCAGTGCCACCTGTACAGTAAAGCACGCGAGACTGGCATATGCAATTAAAAATGCTGGCTAATGACAGCAACTGCCGAGATGTAAAGATGCGAACGGGTGTCTTTTCCTGGCCGTGAGTGTGTGTATATACGGTGGCTCACTTGTTTGCCTTGAGTTACGGCGCTGGAAGCGTTTTGCTCTTTCCAGGACCTTTTTATTTCAATTTGACATCGCCGTGTAAATGTGGGGACTATGAATTCCCAGGCAGCAGCTAGGGAAAATTTACTACCCCATCTTGACACTGTTTAGTTTGGTTGGAAAAGCTCGTAACTGGCTTTCAATAATATATTTTTGGGTATTTACTTTACCTAAGAACATGAAAAATAATTAAGATAATTGGTAACTGACTACAATGAAATTTAGAACTAGAAGCAATAAAAATCATAAAGTTTAAAATTCATATCAATTTTGGTAAAAAAAAATATATTGTTGCTAACTTTTAGACTCCTTTTTTTTCATTTAACAGTGATTTTAATAAATAGCTAGTTAAAACCAATTTTAACTAATTTTTGTTTCATTTTTTTAGAAAATAACTAGCAACCTTTTCATGTAACATTTATAAACCGAAAGTTTAAAAACCCAAAAAAAACGTATATAAAAAGCTTGTTAAGTTTATCCTTTTCCAAAACAGATTATCAACTTCTTCATTTCAAGTAATATTTATCTCTTTCTATGAAAATCACGATAGGGTTTAATAGTTTTTTGGCCCAATCAGAATTTGAGAGAATCGTTTAAGCTGCTTTGCAGCTCAGTGTAATCCCAGCCAAGACAGTTGCCAAACTGTGTGTGCTTTAAGTTGGCGTCTTGGCGCAACAGCTACAACGAGTAGGGGAACATTTCTGGACCGCTCCTCGGGCTCCTTCTTCAGACTTCTCCTCACTTCAGAGCGACTTTGGCACTTGTTAGTGTCTTGTAAGCCAGTTGACTTGGTTTACGTTCTGCCGGGTGAAAGGGCAGCAGTTCCGAGTTCGGAATATGTGAGAGTGTGCATGTCGTGTCATGTCAGCCGAACAGTCCCCCATCGCACATAAATTAAAGCGAGAGGGGGTAGTGCATAAAAAAAATGTATATTTATATTAACGAGCGGAAGGACAGGCTGAAAGTAATGAAAATATAAAATTAAATCGCTGACAAAATCAAATTTAGCTAATTTGCGACATTTGAACCCACGCACAACGGGCGGCATGAGCGATGTTGTGTTAGCAATAATATCACGTATACGACACATCTGCCCATTAAATAATATTTGCATTTGCCAGCATGTCGGCACGTCAGGCCCAGGCAAAACTCACTGCTCTGCTCTCTCCGTTTGTTTGTGTGTCTTTGTGCTTATTTTTGTCTTTTAATTTAGTGCTTTCGAAATAATTAAAATTTATGCAATTCAAAGTTAAAACAAAGTCTGCATGAGCTCGCACAGCAAACAGGAAAAAGGGGGGTGGATAAAAGGGGTTAAAGCAGCAGTAGAATATTTTGCAAATTTGTTGCTGTCTGAGGCATGTTTACGCACATAGTACATATGTTTGTTTGTCGACTGCTCGCTACGAAATTTATGCGAATCATCCCAAAAGGACTTGGCACTGCACCGAGTGACACATAAGTTGTGGGGAACCCATCATATATGCCATATATATAGCTATATGCTAGAGAGAAATAAACAGAAGTGTCAACAAAAAGCAAAGACTAAGCAAACAGCCCCATATATCCCCGGGATCCTTTGTCTTGGGGCCGAGCTGCATTTATCCTTTTTAAAAACAATATTTGCCTGCACTCTAATATGTATCTAGCCTTGATTTGAAAAGAAACTCATATACTTCAATTAGCTGTGTGATTTAATATCTCTGATCCGTTTGAGAAATCCAAGGAAAATTGCTTCAAAGAAAATGCCGCAAATGAATGGAAACTTGTGGATATTTTTGCGGCATTTGCAAGCCAAAATAATTACGAATGCACAAAGGGAGTGAAGGAAATCAGATGAAAGACATGTGAGTGCAGGGATGTGGCAACGGAACAAGCAAAGTAAATTGGCAAGCCAAATGGACGACAAATTAAAATGTGAAATGGAGTGGAGCAGGGTTCTCCTCGTAGGTTAGGGGATATTAAAAATACTTGAGATGGGATGGGATGCCCCTGTATTTCCTACAAAATTCGACAGCAGAGAACAGAACTCAGCTTAGACATGACTGCCCATCTGCTGCAGCTGCAACTGCAGTTGTTCCTCCTGTTTCAGTTTCAGTATCTCTTTCAGTTTCTGTTTCTGGTTCTGTTTCTGTTTCTGGTTCTGTGCTCGTTCGACCTGCTGCACAGATTTAGTTACATAAAATTTACTTTGCATACATTCGGGCGGCCAGGCTTGGTTTCGCAGGCTCGCAGGATCAGGACAGGATAGTTTCGCCTGGGGCGAGATGGCCAGGACCACGCTCGAGATGGTGGAGTTGGAGTTGGTGCTGCCCGGCTGGCTGGATGTTACGAGCAGGGGCAGCAGCACGTCGCCTGGGTGAAAGGATACAGATACAGATACAGTAAGGACTCCTTCTCGCCCGCAAGGACAACGCTTTTTGGGGGCGCACACTACATTGCTTTAAATACTGGGCAAGGTATTTACAACTTCAAGTCGAGGATTAAGACAGTTGGAAAGCAAGTGGAGAGTGTTACCTACAGAGATTTAGATTTAGAGATTTAGAGGCAGAGAAACAGGGAGACAGAGAAAGTGGGGGGTAGAGAACTATGAACTATGTCAGGCGGGATTTTATTAGGGTGCCCAGCTAATCTTCTCGAAATACTCGAAACTAATCGCTTCAATTGCTTCAACTCATTCGAAATCGAAACGAAATTAAATACTTTGATCTGCGCTAATTAGAAAAGTGTGTACTCGTATGTCATAAGCTACTTTTGTGAATGCCAAATGACGGGGCAATTAGTTTTTCATTTACATGTGCTCTCGTGTACTCATTAGTTGGGCGCCAATTTCGTGTTCAACCGCATCATTAGCGCGAACTCAAGCCAACCTAATTGTTTTAAATGTGGTGCGTTGATCTCCTGCGCTTCCACTACTCACATGCCAAGTACTTAACTAAAAATTATTATTAATTTTTGCACAGTTATGAAAGCATTGAGAAAAACATTATGTACACAGAGTGGTTGTCAGATTAAAAATAAATAATTCGTGTTTGTGTGCATTTTGCATTCCGAAAACGCTTTTGACAATTTATTCGTTTCGTGCATTTTGTGCATTGTGACTAAACAAGATGTTAAGTTAATCTACATAATGGCTGCAAATCAACGTGAGGTGTATATAGATAGTGTATGTACAGGCAAGATAACTCTATTTACATAAGGCAATAAATTCAATTGGGCAAATCAATCAACTAAGGCTACGGATACAAATACAAATTAATATCGAGTAGCGCACTCAAAAGTCCTTGAGCAAACCAATTGGGGATGCATCGCTACAATACAAAGCTATTGATAGACAGACTGATAAATTGATGCTTGATAACTACTTGACTACAAACTACAGATATAACTAGAGATACTACTACTACAGCTTGTTGAGTATAGATTTTGGAATAGTACCGTTTAGGCTGGGCTGCGCATACTGGATGAAGCTCTCGGAGATGTAGTGATGGGGTCCGGCCACGCCCACAATGGCCCCGCCACTCGAGCCCACGCCCCCGGGCATCGGCATCCCGCCCCCGCCGCACAGGTGGGCGTTGGGCGGGGCCACCCGCGCCCTAATCTCCGCCGCTCGTCCACCGCCTCCACCACCCTCCTCCAGCTCGTTCAGTTCATCCTCCTCGATGTACATGCTCGGCACATCGTTTCTCGCTGGTCTGAAAAAACAGAAAAATAGGCAGACATTTAAGAAATATATATTTATAGGTACACAAAAAAAACAAAACAAAAATCTAAAATTAAAATTAAAATATGCAAATTTTACATTTAACATTTAATATTAAAATCTTCTTTTTGATTAATTTAAATATTATTTTCTATTTTGATTGAAATACTTCCATTCGTTTAATTAATCATTCAATTAAATATTACATTTTTTTATTCAATTTAAATATTTAATTGCATTAAATTTGCAAATATTTATTTTTACTTCTCTGTTTTTTTGTCAGTGTAGGTATGCGAAAGTTTAGTGGCTAATAGTTCCCAAGGTGAGAGAAACAGCTTAGCGAACTGGACAAACTAAGCCAGCTGCCGGCTCTCAGGCGACTCAAATTTCAATATAAACAGCAACATTCAAAGCCCCGCCGCCATTTCCCCGGGGAACAACTGTGCCAACTTTTCAGTTGATGGCTGGCAAAACCGGAAAATAAAATAAATTCACGGGGCACACGGCGTATGCGCAATATTCGCACCGTTGTGCACCTTTTTCAAAGCGGATTTAATGCCAGCGACTCGGCATTCGACATTTCGAAATGATAAATATTGGCGAAAATATTACCATTTCACTCGAGGACCCTCGAATTTTAATCAGCCTGCTCGATGGTCCATTGTAAATTAAATATAAACCGATTGCCGACGGTTCGTAGAGCTAATTACGCCGCACTCTGTGTCTCTCTTATCAGCTGCCGTGCCTCTGCCGCACACGCAACGTGTGCATCAAATATTTGCACTAATACTTTGCCGCAAAAGGCAAATCATTAAAATGTATGCATAGACGTGGAAAGAGGGGGTTTATAAAGAGGGGGCAGGGGAGGCACACACAGGTGCTTTCCCATTTTATTTATGCACCGAGCATGGAGCGCGTTTGACAGTCGTGATGACCATTTAATGACCCGCATGCGATTCGCTTTGATGTGCCCGGCGACTATTTTCGGCAACTATAATTAATATTTCGTTGGATTCCGCTTTGAAGTGGCTGCCCGAATTCATTATTGAGCAATCAGTGCGGTTGAAAGAAAGGGGCATCGCCACATCGATAGGAAAAGGACGGGGTGTGTGTTTATCTTTCATTAGCCAGCGGGCAGCAGAAAAGGGGGCGGTACATCAGCTAAGCAGCTGCTTAATTACCCAACCGCCCACGCGACCCTTTCGCAGATACTACGCTGATTTCCTATCTTAAATGGAAACTCTAACTTGTGCGGCTGCCTCGTTTCCGGACCTCGTTTACGGCCATTCTTTTCTTTTTGACCCTGTTCGCTTAGGTCGTCGTCAGGTGCAGGTTTAATTAATTTAATTACAGACTAAGCATAATTTACTGGGCAGGTGCGTGCCGGGCTCTAATCGATTGGCGGCGGCCTCAAACTGTTTAGGCGATCGCCTAAATGAACCCAGCAGATTGGCCTTTCGACCTTTTGTTCAGAAAAGGTGGAAATAGCAGGTGAGTTTAAAGTAGGCTCCCCCGTTTGATTGAGCGGCCATTTCTGCGCGACTGTGGCTGTCATTTAATTACTTTCCGGGTAATAAGCATAAGCGAGCGGGTAATGCGCAGGAAAGTATGCTACGGCTTCCTTTTTTCTCCATCCTCGGCTGTCAGTCACGTGCCCCACATAAATAATTTCGTAATTATTTCTGCACACACGGGCTCCGCAGCAAACAATTTCATTATTAGTTTTTCCCAGCTTCCCAGATAGATAGATGTGTAGTGGAAACTCACCGCATGCTCTTGCGCACCTCCTGCGGCTCAGGTGGTCGCGGCCGATGCCGGCAGACCACGACGATGCCGGCCACGATAATTGACGTCACCACGACGGCGCCTATCACCACGACGGCGGCGAGAATCAGCAGCGTCGACTGCTTCTCGGGGCCGCTGCCCGTGCTGGCGCCGGTGCCCAGGCCGCTGGAGCTCCCGCCGCCGCCCACGCCCCCGCCGCCTCCGTGATGCGTTGTTTCTGCGGGCGTTGGGTCCTCCGACAGAATGGATTCATCTGGAAGAAAAGTATGGAAGGGCGATGCCATTAAAGCACGGTGAGAAAATATGGAAAAAATATATCTTAATCTGTTAACCAAGGAATATAACTGTAATATGATTTTTTTATAAATTTCCCATCATAAGAACATTAAATATCACATCGATAGGCTTTAAAATTATTTAATTAAATATATAAAAAAATATTTATGTGCCTAAAATTATGCAGTGAAAACCAGAACAGACTAATAATATATTGTGGCATACTTTTAGACACCTATATTTGTGTATATATATTTTATTTTAATAATTTGAAATCATCTAGAATATTTGTACACATCGTAAGATCATAAAATATCACATAGAAAGGCTTTAACATTATTTAAAATCTTTAAAAAAGAATATTATAAAAAGAGGTGTCTAGCAGTATGCAGTAAAAACAAGAACAGCTTTCCAAAATATTATTGCATACTTTTAGACACATTTTTAGGTAAACCTTAGTCATGGCTATTTTTCCCAGTGCCTAAGCTTATTTCGTAGGTAGAGCTCCTGATAGTTTCAGGGGTCTAGCAATGATTTGTTATTTGCTCGGAATTAGTTTGATGCTCCTGCTGATTTCTATTTGCCTCGCCTGCTCGCTGCTCGCTGCCGTTTATTTATTTATTTGTTTTGCCGTTCCGTGTTCTTTTGCCTAGCTGATTGCTTTTGACTGTTTGCTTATTGTGTTTTCGCTGGGATCTCTCCTTCGGGGAATGGGGGGATATAGGGCTGAAAATTGAAATTAGCCAAATCGCTGGGTGCTCTGTCATAAGTAGGAGATGTAGGATGCGGGAAATCTGCGGGCAGGATAAATAATTATGAAAATCAAAGACCACAAGGGCACTCCACCTCCTATTTTGCCACTTATTACCAGCCATTAGACTTGATGGCACTTGCTGCTCGAAGCTTTTGGCAATTATGAGCAACATGTGAGGCATTGTTTATATTTATTAGATTTCCAGCCAGCGGAAATTGCAACATAATGTGTGAGCCGAGCCCAAGGGGTCCAAAGGCGAGGCAAACTGATTGTAAGATGATCCCCGGGCAAGATTTATGCCAGACATTCGTTAATGCCAAGCTCCCTACCGATTTTTGTTGGCAGGAAAGCATTTCCGCTCCATTTGCGGGCCGTCAAAGCAACGGCCTCGGAATTGAAACATTGCCAGCACCACACCAAACCAGATCCTTTTCCAGGTCCTTCTCCTGGTCTTGAGGTCCTGGCCCTGGCTTTTGAAGTGAGCGTTTGAGTGGAAATTGCCTACACCTGCGGCTCAATTTAATTTTTGTTATTGCCTGGCCTTTTGCACTGGATTGGCTGGCTGACTGGCTTCTGATGCCAAGGCATCTCCGTCATCGTCTCATCGTCTCAGCCTGTTTTTTAATCAGTTTTCCTTGCTTTTCCTTTTGCCTTACATTGTTTTGCTTATTTATTCGCCTTTGATGCTTTTTTGCCAGCTCAAGTGGCCACTTTGCCTGATATTTTTCACGTTTTCCCTTCGCCTTTCGTGTAATAAATTCTCTTGATGAGTTCTGCGTAAACTGATTTAAATCAGCGTCAGCTGATTTGCCTTCATTTTATTTATTTCGCTTAAATCCGAAATCTGTTTAGGTGGCAACGGTTTTTCGGCGACGACGTCCCAAGGAATTTATGGGCCCGCACATATGTACACAATAAAAATCTGCGTGGGCTAGGCGGCTGTTAGAGCTCCGCATAAATTAAAAGGATACCCAGGACCAAAAATGGCGAGTCCATAGTCTCGGTTGTGTAATCACAGAGAGGCCGAATTTACGAGTCTGCGGCAGCCCATTAACATACATAAGTAACTCCGGGAAAAGCTGCTGCTGTTGTTTCATGTAAATAAGTTTCGCCGGACTCGGGAAAATCTAGTGAGTGCGCTTAATCGAACATTTGCGTATCGAATGCAATTAGCCGCCATTAAATCGGGGCAATATGAGTGATTTATGGCTAACTGGGCGAGCGAAGCACACGAAAAACGAAATGAAAATGGCCAAGGAGAAGAAAATGGTTGTGGAAATGGTAATGGAAATGCAGATAAAAATAAAAATCAGCATGAAAATAATGACAACATTGTTGTCGTACTCTCGTAGCCGAGAAAACTGAGAGCGGAGAACTGAAAGCCGAGAATGGCGAAAGGAACAATAAAAGAAAAGTGTCTACGGTGGCCGTTAAGCAAAACGAAAATTGAAGCAATTCCGCTTACGCTTACGCTCGGCTCACGAATACACAGGCACACAAAGGACCTTCTCACATGTACTTCGAACACACACACACTCACACAGAGACAGTCGCATTATGTCGTTAGGCAGGAGCAAAATGAAGAGGCTGTTGCGGCACGCCCCTGCGTATACGTAATATGCGTGTGGCCCACTCAAAGAATTGATGGAAAATGCTGAAATGCTTTCCGCTCCACTGCATAACTCAGTCAGTGGATTAGAAAAGGGCGTCTCGTCTTTGGGGTGGAACTGTATGCCCAATCCCCTGGGTCTCTCCAGTCTCTCCAGGTTCCTAAGGACCTTTGCCTGTGACGCCATGTGCGAACTTTTCGCGGCGGCTGATTGAAGACGATTTCCCCGAACTTGCGTTGATTTGAAAATGCAGTCAAGCGTTGAATTAGACAGTTCCGTTCTCAGCTGTTCTTCAGAGGGATCCAGTTTCAGTTTCAGTTACACAGGCTCTCTGTATTTTATTGGCCTTGGGATGGAAGTGACCCACAAACTGGGCAACTCGGTTGGCCATAACTTGCGCTCTTTATGTGATTAGCAGGAGAGTTCTGCCTTTTTCACCCGACTATCTGTTTTTTTGGGGACACGAAGGATTCGAGGGCTACTCACCATATGGTCCCAGTTGGGCGGCCACGCGTACATTCTCAATCACCACCGGCGGCTCGCTTCGTCCTTTGGCGTTGACGGCGTAAACTAAAAATTGATATTCACGTCCCGGCTCTAAATTATTCAAACGAAACTGTGGACTGTTCTCCTGCATGCGGAAGAAGGGTGCAGTTGTCGCCTGGAATTATACACAAATATTATATATATATAGATGATTTGGGATGCGGGCATGACAACGACGACGAGCGCATTTATAATTCACTCGCCAAACGCCATACGCCGTATGTATTTTTAACTTTTCAGTCCCCGTTTGCAGACCCAACGCATAAATAATTATTCATGCCTAAAAAATACGAAGAAACACAACTGTACTGGGGAGAAACAGAAACAGAAACAGAAAACAGGACAGTGTCTGAAATTTTAAACTGAATATCCGTTTGCCGTAATGGGACACAATCGAGTGAGCTTCGTTGGTTACGCACAAATTCCCACTCAAGTAAGCGTAAGTAATTTATGTTGTCCTTGCGGCACTTTTCCAACCTCATCCCCTCCCCCGTTCTTCTCCTTCTCCTACCATTTTCCCTGCGAATGTGTGTCCTTTATCTAGCATGAAACTTTAAAGCTGCCTGCCAAAGGACCAACGCGTGGGTCACAGTCCGTAGATGATGTCGGCTGTCCTGCCATCATCATCATCATCATCTTCGTTCCATTTTCATTTTCATTTTCATGACCATCCTCGTGATGAGCTTTGCGCTTGGCTACTTTGCTAATAAACTCGCCCCGGCAAGCGCTTCATCAAGGCTGTTGAGAGCAGCCAAACGAAATGAAATGAAATTTTCATATGATATTCCCATCTAGGAGTGACAGGGATAATTTAATAACTCAGCATGCACTCCCCGAGTGCCGGACAAAGGGTACAGAGGTCCTAGGGACACCCTGTTCCATGTGGGGAATCGGATTCGGACTCACAACTCACAGCATTAATTATGTTGTCCCTTTTACACTCGAGTTGAGCTGAAGAAAGGCCCCAGTTTAGATACTATATACTAGCACCCCCGAAATATTTATTAATAATTCAAGCAGAAAAGTCAAAGGACATGCACACTAATTGACCATATGGATTTCAAGTGAATTATTGCCAAGTCCCTCGGCAATGTTTCTGATTTCTGTTTCCCAGCTTTCCTTTTCCTTTTAAAGTAAGTTAGCTTAGCTGCCGGCTGTTTGCCGAACCGTGAGTAAATTTTAATTTAATTGAGCAATTTGCGTTTAGCCTGCCGGAACTTATCAAGTTAGTCCTAACTCGATTTTGGATGTTAGAAGCTGGCACAGCACTCCACTCACCTGATCGTTGAGCGTGGATATCTCGTTGTCGCCCGGGCCAATGGCCTCGCTGAACTGCTGGCTGCCTCTTCCTGGGCCCGTCGATCCACCTGGATCACCGGCGTATAGAGGGTCGCCGCCCACCACCTCCAGCAGGAAGTATTGCGAGAGGCCCCCGTCACTGCCGGCTATGCAAACCACCTCCAGGACGGTGTCGTTGCGCAATTCGCAGGCCTTCGGTGCCTCCGGGGTGTCTGCAGGGGAAGAGGGTTAAGAGAAGGGTTGGGAAGAAAAGAGGGTAGCCAGAGATAGCAGTTAGTCATAGTCATAGACAAGCCGGGGCTTAATGGCCCACCCTTACACCCACCAACCCACCCGTAATTGCATTTAAAAGCAGCTCCTGTCGCCTTAAAGCGCCACTTTGCCGCAAATGAAGGCGTCGCCCCGTTAAAACAAAAATAAAGAGTGCCAGTACGCCCCTAAAATTATTAAGTCAGCTTTGATTTTACCCCAAGGGTAGATTGCACAAAATGGACGGGGAATTGAAAAATATTCTTGGAATTATGTTGCACTTCTCCTTGAATTTAAGGAGAAGAATATCTAAATTGTTACGAATTTTCTTTTTATTGGTGAAAATTGTAATATTTTGTATGGGAATTGCAAAAAATATAAACTTGTTAAGTTTTATTAAGTGAAAAAATCTAGTTTTTAATTTATTCGCATACCTGAAACTTTGTATATTAAATAATTTTTATGAATTTAAAAAACACTTTTTTGTTTATGATTAAAAATAATTAATATTTTGTAAGCAATTTAGGAAAAATATTAATTTGCAAAAAATCTAGTTTATAATTTACACGCATAGTTAGGTTTATTTTTATTAATTCATTTAAGCTTTTAAAATAAAAATGTATATTTTTATGAATTTAAAGAAATCTTTTTCAAAAAAATTGTTTCGAATTATTTAAAATTTTAAAATTCTGAATTATTTTCATTATGTGTTGGATGAAAAGTCTTTCCCTGAGTGCATGACCACGCCCCTACTTTGCATTAATAACAAGCGAATTTGGCCAAGACCTGAAGCAACGGCAGGCAGTTCAACCTGAGGATTATTTGGCAACATTTTGGCAAAGTACACCGGCACTCCATCCTCCTGCCATCCACCCTCCTTCCCCCAGCACACACTCGCCAATTATGTAAGTAGATCCTTATGTGTGCATAAGAGATAGACTGGGGGACAGGGGACAGGAGGACTGGGGGACAACAACGGCACCGGTGGCAATACCGACACCAGTCTTGTTTAAATTGCGGCGAAGATGGAGGTAAGTGCCGGCATCTTGTGGCAACAACTTCCTCGACTTGAGCTGGTAGAACCACCTCCATTTCCACTTCCCCAACTATATCCACATCCACTTACTTGCCGGCAGGATGTGCACCAGACAGGGCGTCGTTTGGCGGCCCACCACGTTGCTGGCCCAGCAGGCCAGCGTTATTAACTCGGAATCCGTCTGCGGCAGATACGTCACCGTGCTGGCCAGTCCGTTCGATTGAATCCTCGAGTTGAGCACCTGGAAAGGTAGATTCCGGAGGATTAGATTCAGCGCCATTGTGCGAACGTAGGCAGGATCAAATGCAGTTCAAATCGAATCGAAATCAAAGCAAACTCTGATTCAGATTCAGAACCCAGCCAAAAAGAGTAACGATTTCCCCAACCAACCGGAGGCATAAATATTTGAAGGCAAATAAGTTTTTATTGCAAGCCAAACGAATCGAGACGCTAGATGGGATAAGTCATCCGGTGGCCATCCGGGTTTTTCGTGCAGATTTTCAAATAACTTTTGCGGTAAATGAATTACTTTATTTATTGTGCACAGCTGTCCCACAACCGTCTCTGTAGAATCGAGTCACATATGCAAGTCTTTCGGTTCGTTTGGTCAGCCATTCGACTGCTTCTGGTATTTTTCCTCTTCCATCTATCTTTCTATATATTTCTCGTTTCTTTTTTTGCCAGCTCTGCAGTCCTCTGGCACCTAAACGGTTTGCATTTTAAATTCCCCACCTTGAACGTAGTAGTTGTATGGAGTATCCTTGCCCCCGTCGCCATTCCGAATTTATACATTTTGATTAAATTTTAATTCAGTCACGTACGGCGCTCGATTCCCTGCCTCGTCCATTGTTCGTCTGCTCCGAATTGTCGAACGAAAATCCCAGACAACCCTCGAGTATTTAGCACAAGTTCTGCTAATAGCACCCGACTTCGAACTTGGTTCCTTTACAGCCCCCCTTAATACTCCAACTCCTCCTCATCTTCTTTCTGGCTGGCAATCCCTGGCATTCCGAGTAATTGCGACAGTCGGGCCAAAAGCTCCGGCTGCAGCACGTTCCCCGGCATAATTACAGGCACAATAAGTTCGGTTTGGATTCCGGACAAGTTACCTTTTGCCCCAGTCACGATGCACGGTGAAAAAGTGCTTTAAACTTTGAATAACTGAATTAATTTAGAGTTTTAAACCAAAGAAAAATCGTTTTTTAAATTAATTAGTTCAAATTGATTGAATAAAAGTAGGAAATTGTTTATTTTATTCAAGAGAGCCTTTAAAAACAAACTTTTTTTTAAGTAGGTTGAAAAATTCAGTATTTTTAAGAGAAAATGTCTTGTGCAACTTCTTAATGAGTCAAAATAATTTATACAATTTTCATGATTAATATTATTGAGTAAGTAAACACTATCAATCATTTTCTGTACATTTTCGATGATTTTAATTTATAAGTGAGTAAACATTATAAATATTTCTGTGTGCTTTTAATACCTATATTTTTCTCTGCTCTGTAAAATATCCTACAGTTATTTGTTAAGAAAAAATCCCATTTAAAATAGAATTTAATTTAATGATATTTTGTTTCTGCCTTCAAAAGAAAAAGTGTTTGTAGGCTGACTTACCGGCGACACATTCCGGGTATTGTTGTAGGTCCAGCTGAATCGCACGGAGTCCGGCGGATCAGCATCCACCTCGCATTTCACCAGAATCGAGTGGAGGCTGACGGCGCCGATGGAGGTTTGTTCGGTGCCCGACTTGCAGCGCGGGGAGACTGAAGAAGAAAGAGCTTCATAAATATACACGGCATCGAGTTGTTAGGCAGCAAAAAGTTTCCATTTTAAATTCGAACGCCCACCCCCTTGGAGGGCAAACAACCGCCGCCCTTCTCTGGGGGGTAAAATATACACAAAAATATGAGCGGATGGGGGAAATCCAAGGGGAAGGCGAGCCAGCTACATAGCCTTGAGCATAGTAATTAACATGTTTCCGTTTCACGAACGAGGCGGCTTGTGTTCTCCAGGATTTTTTATCCTCTTCCTCACTTTCTTTTTTTTTTCTTTATTTATTTACTTTATGTGTAGCTTAGCGGGGAAAATCTCTGTGTGCCAGGTATCGGAAGAAAAGCGAGTACTTTCACTTGGCTGTGAAATGGGAGCAGATATGCGGAAGCACTGCCTCTTTGCCCCTGAGGCAAAATGTGTCTGTCTGTTTGAATACCCGAGACTCTCGGGTTCCCGGTATCCCAGTATCACAGATTGTGTGCTGAAAGCCGCCTTTAAAATGTAAGTCACGCCAAGGCAGATAAGCATTCGAAGCTTCATTACGGCCTCCTTGGCTTTTATCACAAGTTGGCCTGCATTTCATAGTCGAATACTTAAGCCATCTGTCGGCGTCTGCGAACTTGTTGCTGTAGAACGAGTGTGTGTGGCGAAAGTTACCTCTATCTGAAAGCTGAAAACCCAAACTCAATGCAAAGACGACGAGGAGTCTCGGGAAACTTTCATAATTTCAAATATAAACTACTTAAACTGTCGTACGAAGGGGTTGCAGAAATGCATTTCGGATTTCAGATTGTCAAAGTGGCAGTTTTCCGGTTTTCCAACGTCGCTTGGTAACATGAAAAGAGGTTTTCTTTCTGGCTGGCTTGTAAGCTGACAACACAATAAATGCTGCCAACAAAGAGCCACGCACCATCGCTCTCTGGAATCAGAATCCTTTCTCAAGATTGTACACGAACCCTGCCAAATAGTGTACTTAAGACCCACTCGTGGGACTCTCTCCACATCGATTGTGCAGCGCTTTTCCCTCTGATTTATGCAACCAAATCGCTTGTGCGAGTAGTATATGAAATCCACATTAATCACAGGCACAAAAAATGGCCAAAAGGCATGGGAGAACTCGACCCGAGGCAGCGGAAAAATCGGACTGCGGACTGTGTGAGGTTTATGAAAAGTTTTTGGCCGGAGCCCCTGGATTTATAGGCGAAAGTTTTGTCTGTGCGTGTGTATAAATCAATGGCGGTTGTTTAGGCCAGCGGCAGCACGAGTTTTGGAATCAGAATTTTACAATTCTACAATTGTAAACAAGTGCGCAACAAACGCCGACAGTTACAGATGGAGTTTGGTAGGGATGGTCATGCATCATTTCTAAGCAATTTCCCCATCCGCTTTTGGAAGCCCCCCAACTCCCCTCGAAAAAGTTGGCAACTTTTATTCCGGCAGCCATTGCTTGTTGATTTTGATTTTATTCTGCTGCTTCCGCTTCCGGTTTGCCATGTTATTTCATCACGTCGTCGTATCCCCACTTCTCTTTCCCTTTTCTCGTATAGTTTTGTGTATATTTTATTTCACATTTCCCATCTCGAAAGTCGTACTTACACTGCACTTTTAAAGCGAGGCTCGAACTCCGGGTTTCGCCCTCCGTATTTGTGGCCCCGCAGGCGTACGCCCCCGCACTCTCCCTCTCCAGCTGCGTCAAGTGCATTATTTCCGTGCTCTCGCCCGACATTCGCATGCCCTGAAATGTGAACAAGGGGATATTATTATGGGTTTTGTGATAAGGGGGGTTTTTTGGGGGTAGACCAAGAAATTGAGGGGGCAAAACGGTTTAAGTTAAGCATTGAGCGAAATTAAAAGGCAAGAAATAAAAGAACTTTGCATTGGTAATAAGGGATTTCATATAGGGTGTTTAAATTCCTGTTTTATTTATTTTTAAAAATTTAAAAGCTATTCATGAACTTATGAATTTATGTTTTCCTATCTGACATTTAATTAAGTTTGTTATTCATGTTTCCTTCCTTGATAAAAATGTCTGTTTTTCATATTTTTATTCCAGTATTGACCTCTTGGCTATAAGTTTGATTGAAAAGCATATCAACAATTATAAAAGCTTAGCTACATTTTACTATTTTCTAATTTTCAAATTTTAAATGAAAAATGTAGTAAAAAGAGTGTTTAATTGTAGTCAGACTTTCATTTATATATATCCTAAATAATATAAATAAAATGCCAGGAATTCTTGGCCTAGACTTTTCATGTTATTTCAAGTATTTGATGACTAATTTGGGGTCGCACCCCCATTTACTCTAGAACAGCACATTGTACATATGCCGAAAAGTATTGTCCCACTGGTCTTAGATGGCACAAATTGCGGTGGTGCCGGCTGCATTGTCGAGTGACCGCAGGAGCCACAACCACCATCACGAGCAGCACTAAATGGCAACCGCAATGGAGCCAATGGCTCTGCTTTTCCATTTTCCATTTGCTATTTGCCGAGCGGCAGTGGTTGCCGCCGCCTAATGCGGTATTTTAGTGGGCCGAATAATAAACGGATTTTATTAAATCAAATTAATGTATTTTTCGGCATTCGGCATTTAACATTCAGCATTTGACAGCCGGCACTCGAACTGCTCATCGAATTATCCCAATAGCAGGCGATTCTCATAGAGAGACACTCCATGCGGATGCGAATGCTCCATTAGCACAGCTTGACTCCGGAATAATTCGATTATGCATTTAGTAGCAAAATCCCGGCTGACATTTGCACATGCGTTTAATTAATTCATAATAATAATAATAATGCAATTTAAATAGCTTAAGTTCCACCCATCTATGTGGGAATATATATCTATAGGTATAGGTATGTGGGTATCGTTGACAGCTAATTTGCAGCAGGGCAAACCCATAACCCAGGGGAACCTCGGTGGAAACACGCGTTATAGATCCGCCGCAAATTGGCCATGCTGCATCATTTGATTATTTGTAAAATTCATTAAAAAGCCATGACTGCGCTGATGGAGGGCGGTAATTGCATTGGCCCTTGTGCAATAATGCATTTAACAATGCAGGAAAGTGCAGGCAAACACACACTCGAAAGCTGCTTTAATTTGATTCCTCTGTGGGATTTCATTAATTTACCGACAACGAGCCAGCGGCTGTAAAGTTCAAGTTGACCCAGTGCTAAAAAAGTTGGCGAAAGTGGGTAAGGAAAAGCGGAAAACAGTCTGATAATAAAAATCTATATACGGTGGGCAAACTGACGTCGAACAACTCGAAGAAGTGACAAAGTTCGGCTCTTTAGAACTTTTTTGCGCACATTTGGCCAACCGTTTTTCATAATTCCTTGCCTCATTTTCCCTCGTAGCCCATTAATGCCAGAGCCAGAAAACAGAAAATCAAAAATCAAAGTGCCCTAAATAAAGAGAAGTTTTTAGAAAATCCATCCCCTAACCTCCCCCTGCCAAATGATTTTGGCAATTTGTTAACTGCCCGGTCAAAAGAGAGAAAAATGGCTGGGGAAAATATGAGCTCGGGTTTATGGTTTATCCTAGTTATGAAAAATGATGATGTGACCATGTGGACAAAACTGTCAAAGGATGTCAGAATCATGCGGTTTAATAATAAAAACCCAAGACAAAGTCACAGCCAGCTAGACGAGCTAGTCAACAATGGTTTTTGGCCCGAGAATAGCACAATCTCAATCTCTTTCGGTTTATTTGTCGCATGATTAATAGTTAAATAATTTGCAACACGAATGGACTTCAATGGACATCATGAGCCAATTATAAGACGTTTGAAAAATGAGCTGCGCTCAGCACTTCTTGACCACCATTATTCTCTCACCCAGCAGGAATGCTGGAGGAATTCCGGCCTTTAAGGGCAAACGAAATTAAACCGCAAAAGTGTCTGCTTATATCGAACCGCAGGAATGTCGACGCCTTCGGGGGCCGCCAGCAATTGATAATAAAAATTTCGAAAAGTGTCTGATACACGTCAGCTGTTGGTCGTAGAAAATAATAGATAAGAGGAAAAAGGACTGTGGAAATATACACAGAAAAAATTGATATGAAAAAGAGTAATTTTTAACTTATTTCATATCATATTAATATGATTATTGTCAAATTTATGATTTAAACATATCAAATTAATATTTTAGCATTAAAAAAAATTATAAAAATACTATTTAAAAATAAATAAGAAAAACATAATATTTATACATGTCATTTTGATCTTAAAAAAATATTAAATTAACCTGCACGTATCAATGTCATCTTTAGTCATTTTTTTTTCTGTGTAGGGGAAAATCAGTGGTCTTACTTACATTTTTGAACCAGGAGTAGCCGGTGACCGGCGGTCGGGCATCCGCGCGGCATTTGAAAGTGACATTCTGGCCCTCGGCTCTCGTCACCAACCTGCTGGGATCCTCGTTGGCCAGGTGCACCGAAACAGTGGGCGGATCTGTAAGAAAAATGGAAGGAAGGCAGGCAGTCAGGAATAAGTGAGTGCGGCATCCGGCTTAATGAGCGCAGCGAATGGCTGAATAAAAGTCAAAATAATAAACGGCAATGGCCGCAGGGAGGTGACTCGGTGGGGTCTTCGTTGCGTAATGTACTTAGCCCCAGCTGCCGAACATCCTTTTGAAGGAGGCCTCCACTTGACCACACGCCAAATGGGACTATTAGTTACGGTTGTAAAAATCTAATACGCGTCGGAGACTGTCGGCGCCACTTGGGCCCCAGTCAGTCTTTCATCCCCCGTTTCCCTCCTATCTGGAGTTTCAGTTTGGTAAGAGTAGTCTGAACTATATAGTGGTTTATTGTACGGCTCTCAAATGTCAATGACGTGGGTCGGCTGGTGGGCAGGAAAGAAAATGCTGGCATTTATGGTAAATTATTAAGAGGCAGCACAAAATGAAAAGCGGACGAATCAAGTCGACTGCCGGCCTGATTTGAGTGCAGGTAATTCAGCTTTCCTTATTTTGATACACTTGGAAAAAAGGTTTAGCCCTGGAATTATGGTAAAAATTTAATTATTTTATTTATATTTTTACAATGGCTCGAAACACAAAACAAACTAAATAAAAATTAAAAAAAATATTTAAAATAATTCCGTGCTTTCCGTGGACTTTCAATCTGTTTTCTCGCAGTGCACCCACCCAACCTCCGTTTATCCAGAGAAACTTCAACGGGGGCAGTAATGTAAAACGGAAGCCGGAAGCGGATGTTGCAAATATTATGGAGGCCGGCAAAGGAAAAAAATAAAGAGCAATAGAAACATAACGGTGCAAATTTAATCAAGGCAAGTCGAAGAACACGACATTGAAGTCAACTTGACTGCATTTTATAAGCGGCTTAGCGAGACTTTCTCTGCCAGGCCAACAGGTTGATGTGGCCTCCAGCCAAGTTGGTCGGATCCGGATCCGGATCCTTTGCTCCTTTGGCCTTAATAAAATTACGCTGGCTCTGGCCGTAATATGCGTCTAATTGGACTTTCCTCGGTCCAGTCAACACACATACACCACCTACACACAAATAGGCCAGGACTTGGGCACAAAAGCTTCTCCACAGGATTCAGAGAAGGCAGAAGCAAAGGCAGAAGCCGACCCAGACCCAAATACCCAGCAGCCTTTATATCCCACTGGCCGCATTTCTGCTAATAACCAGCTCCGAGTTCACCTGAGAAGCAGGGTATCTATATCCTGTGTGTGTACTCACATGCCACTCGGATGATGCGCTTGTCCTCGATGGCGCCACCGGAGAACCAGGGATTCGTAGCGCGACACGTCAGCTCGGCATTATCGTTCTCCGACGTTACCTTTAGCGTGAGGATGCTCGTGGTGATATTGCCATCCTGTGATAGAAAAAATAGGGAATGAAAGAGGGGGATTATTAGCTTACTGCTTTGAAAAGGCGGTAAATGATCGAATAACCAGATTATTAAAATATCAAATAAAAACCTAGAGGCCCCAGAAAAAGACAAAAAAAGAATATATTTTCTTTGTCATTGAAATTTCTTAAAACCCATTTTCTTTTATGTTGATGTATTATTTAAAATGCATTTTAATTCCAAGTTAATAAAAGAGGGGCTAGATGTTTTGTAGTGAAAGCCAAACTCTTTTTGGGGGCTGTCATATGCCCCAGTTTGAGAGGCTCAGGGTACACAGAAAAAAAATTGTCAAAATTTTATATTTTTTAAAGATTTTTAAAGATACTTTAAAATAGTAATTTTATAATTTGTATTAAATAACTGATATGATAAAATGTCATTTTTATTTGTTTGAATTATAAATTCGACATTAATCATATCATAGAGTTCACCCTATTTCATATCCAATTTTTTTTCTGTGTACGTCCTGTGTCCATTCGAGGGGCATTTTGCAGCAGGGTCTTTGAAAATAATGACTCGAATTTCGAGCTAAGCCGATGTCTTTTTTGCAGCACTACCCACAGTCAGCCCTCGAAAATAGAAGATAGAAGAGTGGTGGAGCAGAGGAGGAGCTCATGGCAAACTGGGTATTAAGTTACGACATCAACCGGCTCCTGGACCAAAGTCGAGCCACGTTTTGGCAACAATCGAAGCCAGGTCAGGGAAACTAACAAGCGGAGGACTCGTATGTCCTGTGTGTGTGCGAGTGGAAATCTGTCCCTGGGATCGAAGTCGAGTCGGTTATGCACGAGTTGACTAATGCCTGGCGACGTTTGGCAGCAACTATCCATTTACATGGCATAATTAGAAAGCGAAAAAGGCAGAGCCACCAAAGCCACCACGAAAGCGTACTAATGGATGCCGAAAACTGAGACATCTCCGAAAGGAAGTATCTGATAAATGCCTCGCCTTTAGTGGAAGAAATTGCTTCTACGAAAATAGCCCCATGAATTCCAATAAAAATTCGCACATTAGCCGGGGAGCCATGGAGTGCAAATTTGTGCAGCTTGGCCGAAAACTTTTCGCCAATGCAGTTCATCAAAGACGAGTCCTGTTTTCCTCCCCTTTGTCTCTCGCTCTGCGGCTGCCGGAAAACTGGAAAAGTTTGCCCTGCTCGCATTTAGGGTCACCCAGTGGTCGCCTCGGTGGCCTTTGTTGTTGTGTCCCCTCAGAATCTGAGGCTATTAAGCGCCGCCCAGAGTTTTATATATGTGTGTGTTCAAGTGCCTGCTGCACTGCGGCCAGCTATCAAATGTCAAACGCTCGAAGCAAATTTTCCGGCACAAAGTTGCGTTGTCCTGGGAAACGGGAACAGGCAACAAGAATGAAAACTTTCTCCTCACCCAGTATCTCTTCTCCTCTCGCTTTTCGTATCCCCGCAAAATAGTCGAACAATTTCGGGCAATTTGGCCAGCAAGGACTTTCACTCACCTCCTTGTCGCTGTGCACGGTGACCTCGGCATTCCGGATGGGCTCGCCGTCGAGCAGCCAAGTGATCTTGGCCGCAGGATACGAGCCCCAGGACTCGCAGCGAACGGGCGTGGGCTGCCCGGCGGTCAGAAGTTCGTTGGGGGTGGCTATCTTCACCCGAACAGGTTTCACTACGAGATTTAAAAGGATTAATTAGGTTACTTCATTTGTAAATAAATAAGAATAAAAAAATAAAAGATGTTTTATATTTTATTTATAAGTATAAAGACAGTTGTAATATTTTCCTGTATTATATTTTCTTGATTTTTTTCAAGGGAAAACTTCATTCAAATATCGAGTAATAGCAAACTGTCGATATTTATTTTCAAGGTTTATTTCTAAATAAGTTGATTTTTACTAACACGTTTTAATTAGTTAATTTTTGTAAATTTAAAACTATATTTTTTCCACCATAAAGGATAGAGAAATCTTTTGGTCAACAAGACTACAAATCAGCGAATGTTTTCGTGGCTCTAAGTGAAATGCAAAACTTTTATTTGCTTGTAGCTTGCGGAACTCAGCAAGGTAATGAAATGCAAATATTTATGGGGGGGTGGAGAGTGGGCTAGAGACTCACAGTAAACCTGCACGGTGACATCCTTGCGGACGGGATCCACCAGTCGCGTTCCCTGTGCCCGGCACTCGATGCGAATTCCGTAAAAGTCCCGCGTGGTGGTTCCAATCAGCAGCTGATTAACCATCACGGTGGCGCCCTCCTCGACGGAAGTGTGGCTGGTGCCGATTAGCTCGGTGTCATCGCGCCACCAGGTGACCTTGGGCGGGGGGCGTCCTGCAGAGAGAAAGGAGGGGGAGTGAGTTGTGTTCTAAGCCAGCAGAGCAGCAGCTGCTCGCTTTCAGCCAAATGCAATGCGGGCCTCTCATCATCTGGCTGAGAACGATGATGCGATGCAATGCAATGCCGCGGTGCTGCAGGATATGGAGGATCCTTGCCACCGGTTGCAATTGACACTCCTGAGTGCCATGGCAAACAATGCGTCCGACTGCGGTGGCAGTGGCGCTGACAAATACAGTTAAACGCAGGCTGTTAAGTGGGTCAAACCACCGCATAAAGTGCGTGCTCAAGTGCACAGTGGGAAAATGTGGGAAGTTAAAGAGTTGATTTTGTATATAACTTTATTTATTTTACCAGAATAATATTTATTTTATGGTATTTTTCTTTGTATAGTAAATAAAACCAATATAAATTAAACTATCTTGCTTGAAATATTTAAAAATAAATTTCGCACAATACGTAAACCAGGTTCTTTAGCCACTTCGTTTTTTCCCCATGCAGCCAATAAAGAGCCGCCTGACAACTGCAGCCTGAAACCTGAAACGGATAACTCACCTCCCCTCACTTGACAGCAGAGGAAGAGCTCGTAGCCCTCGCGGAAGGGTCCTGCCATCTGGGAAATCTCCTTGCCCTGGGCATCGAAGATGCGCGGCTCCTCGGGCGGCACTGGAAACGGATAGCAGATAGCAGCCACTTTAGGGGTCAGCTATTACACCTATATAATATCGCCACTTACCAACTAAAGTCAGGTTGTGCCGGAAGTTCCTCGTCGGGGAGTTGAAGAAGTCGACGCGACACCGATAGACGCCGCCATCCTCCGGCTTCACATCGTTGATCTGCAGGCGAGAGTCCTTGGGATTATCGCCGATGCTGAAGAACAGACGTTGCCCCAGATCGCTAGCTATGGCCGCATGGGGAGCCAGCTTCACGTTGCCGCCCCGCGAGTCCAAACTGTTGGGAAAAATGAGGAAAAACCAGGGAGAAAATAAGTGAGGGGGCGTGGCAGCATGTAGCGATTATTAGATGTCATAAATAAGCATATGCGAGGAGCATAAGTTGCCGACTTTCTTTGCCTTTTCCACCGCCCCTCGCATAATTTAGCTGCATAAAAAATGGTGCTCAATTTGCACACCATGAGCCAGGAGAGCTCCTGTCTGTATGGAGCAGGACTTGGCGCAAATTGCAGTAATTTGTTGCTGTTTTAGTAAATTACTCAGTTTATTTCAAGACCTCTGGTCCTGCTGCATTTTCCCGCTTATGATTATCGAGTGCTGGCCAAACCACTTCCCCTTTCATCCATAAACCCCTTCTAATGAGTACTCCCGAGTGTTTTTCCCGGCTGCGGCACGCAAAGTCGGAAGGCATTTCCACTTGGCATGCAGGGCACACACACTGGCTGGGCTGCCACAATTTATATTGAAAATTTATCAGCGCAAATTTATAAAAATCCATGTGTGAGAAGGGCCGATGGCTTCCATGTGCGTGAAAATTTGCTACACTTTAGCAACGACAGCCGTAATCGGATGTGCTTTACATTTATTATAACAAAGTGGATTATGACGGGCGCATCCTTGGCCCCGAAAAACATCCTCGCATGTACTTGGTACACACATGTGTGCCAGCTGCCGGAAATAAGCCAGAAGCGCTCGAAAAAAATAACACGTTAGGTGTAAGAAAAGGGATGTTGACGATTATTTCACGCTCCTGACGGATGGATAAATGGATGGATGGATGGTTGGATGGAAGGCTGTCTGGCAGGCTCTCCGAGTGGATGATTACGCACCAGTGACCCAGGGGGATAGCCTGTACATAAAGAAGTAGTTCTCGCTCACCTGTACAGAGGAATGCCCGTGGTGTCCTTGAACCACAGCAGCAGCTTCACCGAATCCTGCGACGTGGGCGGGGTCAAATCGCAGGGCAGCTCCACGGTTTTGCCCAAAGCGGCCCAAACCAATCGAGCGGGTACTGTGAACGGGAAGAAAAGAAAGTATATTATTTTTATGCACTGAGAGAAAATTGCCAAATAAATTGCCGGAGTTTAAAAAAAAAACTGATACTTGTTACTCATCTTAAGGAAGTATGAGGAAGAGGGAGAAATGCAGGCAGCAATGCAACTGCTTGCACTGCTTGAATTTCATTTTTGCTTTTGCTCATAACTTTAAAATTAATGGTCAGATTTGAAAAATTTCTTCTGAACAATGACTTCTTTCATTTTTAGTAAACTTCAAAAAAAAGACTTTTTTAAATATGTTTTATATGTTTTTATCCGATTGGTCAAGTCTGAAAATAAATTTAGCTCAAGCTAAACCCTCCTACCATCAAATGAATAAACTGCCGTACTATTCGTCTTAATTTCAGTATTCTTTTGGGGCTTACAAAATCTTGATTTCAAAAGGATATTCTCCCTCTTTTTTCTTCACTTTTCTTTCATTTTATTAGCAAGGCATGAGAACTGTCGCCAGCAATCGAAGTCGATCCAGTGGCAATACCTTGCTGTGCGATGCGATATATATTTATTTATTATTTGCACTTCCTGCATGATTCGGCTGATTGTTTGTTATTTTAACACAAAGCTTCCGCTTGCCATTCGCGGCAGCCCCGCCTCCAAGAACGTTGGAAACGCCTGAACGCCCACACCTGCGCCAAGGCCACGCCCACCACCCACTGAAGAAACCGCCCAAGCATTGTTGTTGCTGTCTTCCGTTCCCCGGTTGTCGTCACCAGCGTCATCAGTTTGATGTTTCTTTTTTGGTCCTTGGTTTTTTGGTCCTTGTCGGTTTGGTTTCTCGCTCCCCTATATATTTCCTTTTTGATTCGGCCCAAAAAATGATTTCTTGTGAATTTGTGTTTGTTGGGCCCATGTTTTGTGTTATTTTATTTGACAGAGGGCAACCTGTAAAATTTCCACATTGTTTCCGCCTCGGCGGCTTCTTTTATTTTTGCTCCACCTGAACAATAATGCGGCTGTCGTTTTTTCGTTTTCGAGGCCTCGTTATCTGGTTCCTTAAAGCAAAACACTGTGTTTAAATTGCCCCCCAGTTTATTTGCTGTTTAAATTCCCCATGCGATCGGCTGAGCTTTTATGGCTTAATTTTGAAGCGACACCATGGAAAAGTTTTCATTTTGCGAAAAATACTCAAAAAAATAAAATACATTTTCTCTCTGTTGTTTTCGTTGCTCTTTGATGTGCGCAATGTTTTTAGTGCTACTGTATATGGGATTAGGAGAAAAAAAGATTAGAAAAAAGCTGGAAAAATATTTGCAAATTATTGAAACCCCCAGCGTTCTCTAAGCTGTGTTCTTTTGGCCGCAAAAACCAAAGAGTTGGCCATTTGTTATGCGTTGCATACTTCCAGGCGCGCACTCGCTGACAACTTGAGCAAAATGGCAAACAAAATGGCTTCTCTGCGCTTCCGCTGCTTTTGCCACTGCAATTTGTCAAACGCTTTGGCTTGTGGCAGGCTGTGCAAATATGTGGCCAAACGAGCGAAGACGACACCTAGCCCGTAAATCCTTATGAATGGGTGGGGATTCTGGATTCTGTTTTCTGGATTCTGGATGTTCAGTGTCTAAATCTGAATCATGGCTGCTGGGGTCACGCATGTGGTTGCACAATCCCCTCGAGCGGAAGAGGAACTTCCCACTCCTCTACCTCTTCCTCTGACCAATTAAGCAAAGCACTTTTGATGTGTCCTCACCCCGAAATCTATTTATAATTGCCGCTGGCATTCGCCCAGTTGTTAGCGGCAATCGTCTGCTCGTTCCTAATGATTTATGCCCACATTTAATTCTTCTATTGGCAGCCCGTCGTCGTCGCTTTGATGTGTGTCTCTCGAATCTTTCGAATCTCCTAGTTCCAAGTTCCAAGGCGAACGTCTACCTGCGGCCCTCCCTCGCTTTTTGATGTTTTGTTTTGACACATCGCATTATTCTAGGTCTATTTTTAGCCACTTGTAATTTACTTAACCCACAGAGAAGCCCCCATTCAATTGGAATTTCCACTGCACGAGGGAGTTTCTCTGCGTAGCTCATCATCATTTGTGCATCGGTGCATTTGACAGGCTCTCAGCAGCAGGGATCAATTAACTTCCATCGAATGCATTGAGTGTTTATGGCTGTTTTATAATTCGTATTAAGACAATTTGAGTGTTTTCGAATGTGGAAATAGGAAGTGCATCTCTCGGGGGTTTTTTTATATATAGAAATCCCCTTTGCTTTTTCCTAGATTTTATTTTACGACCTAACCGTTTTCCCCACGGCCCTAAAGCTTTAAGTTTACTGGGGGAAATTGCGCATACGCAGCGTGTTACTTTGCATGCATAAACCAGGAGCAGCCAGCAGCTTTTCGTGCCCCATTTGGCTAGGCTGCCTCCTTGGGTTCTCCCCCAGCCACAAGGCCGCAGCCCCAAGACAACGTTGCATTAATTATGCAGTGGTTGGAGGCCTCTGCGGCTCTTTAAGGCTACAAGGCTCTCCGCTTAAGATTTTTCTACGTACTACAGCTAGCGGATATATTTAATTGATTTCTTTTTGCCGCTTTGTTGGCTGCAATCCAATAGTTTAATGAACTTTGGGCAAAATAAACCCAAAGTGTTGCAAAAACAATAATAGAAAATCAACAAAGCGTTGAGGCTAAATAAACTCAGACTCGCAGGCTGCCCCGATTAAGTGTGCCGTGTCATTGTAAACAGTAGCAAAAAACAATGGTTTTGTAACAGGGAAAAAAAGATAGAAAAAAGAACTTGTATTTGGCAATCTTTCAATATGTGCGCACATTTTTCTGTGTTGGCCAAACGGTTGTGAGTGCTATTCAATTGATATTTAAAGCGTAAGCGAGTGGAATTCGGATCGGGCCATTGGGGTTGACACATGGCACATAGTACATATCACATAGCACATAGCCCATATTACACATACGCACTGTATGCGCAGTGCGGTTTTGTTCTGCGGTTGCGGCTTTGTCTTCTTGGTGGATAGGGGATGGTAAATGGTGGATAGAGGATGGTTTCGGTCTGATTGAAACGTTTGCCAAACGCACATAAAAGTCAATTACGCAAAATATAAGTTAGTTAATTAACTGCAAAATCAGAGGCGGGCTCAGCATAAATATAAATGTGCCCTGCTCTCGATTCTTAGCCCTTTTTGTGTGCTGCTGCCTCTGCTAGTGCTGCTAATGAAAAGTTTATTTAGAACGGTGGCAAGTCGGAACTAAACCAAATTACAGGCAATTGCCAAGATAAATATTTGAGTTTCACTATTCAGAGCGGCGGCAGCAGATGATGCTACACTGCGCCAGTTTGCCATATGCCTTTCGGTTCTACTTGTAGGTACTTTGTATAGGATGGGGGAACTCTTCGACTTTTAAATATTTTATCCAGACTCCAACCGGACTCTCTGGCCTTTTCATAACCCCCTTTTTTACCCCTTCTATCCCCCCAAACTGCCGACCTTACTTACTGCTTTTTATTCCACGGCTGCCTTTGCCGCGTTGGGCCAAATTGTTTACATTTAAATTGTACATTATGGCAAACACACACACACAGACACACACTTGCCACAAAATGTAGCAAGTTGAGAGCGAAAGTGGTTGCCATTGCGGACGAATCTCCTCCTGGAACCCCTCCTTCCTTTTTGACCCGCCAGCTGTCGGGTCACGCCCCCCTGGCCACGCCCCTTTGTAGTGTAGTCAAAGTCGTCAGTGACCCTAATGTACTTTCTCACACTTTTTAGCATGCATTACGGGCTGCCTAACATGGTTGCCTCCTGTTTGAGTGTGTGTGTGTGTAAATAACTTTTAAAGTGCTTTACTCACACACTCGCACACAGAAATGTGAGTATGAATATTTACTTATAATTAGAAATGCCAGAATGTTTTGTTTTCCTTAGTTCAGCCTTTGACTTTGCCCCTGCGTATTTTTCTTGTGAGTGTGTGTGAGTGAGTGTACGTGTGTGTGCACTTCCTGTTGCCGCCATCTTTGGGGGCAAATAAACCCCAAAAAGTGCTCAACCCGAGTACATGACTCTTGTGTTCTCTCAGCTCTTTGTTGTTTGCATTACTTCGTTTTCGTCCAAAACACTGGTAATGTAGAAATTAAGAGAAGCTCCCTGAAGCTCATAGAGGGCAAAAAGGCAAGAAAAAAGTATGGCAGAAAAATTATTTAAAGACTAAATGTTTGGGCGAGTGTCGCGAATTCGTGGCGCCAAAGAAGTCGAGCAACAAATGTTCGCGCCAGGCGATTCAATTAGGCGAAATATTTCTTGGCGGCCCCCTGAAATGAAATGTTCCCCAACATTCTTTTGCAGGCTTATTAATAACAAGTGTGTGCACTGATAGAAAAAAGGGATGAAATTAAATAGAATTTTTAAAGAAAAATAATGAAATAAATATAATAAAATATTTATAAAATAAGAACGTATTTTAGATTGTCATTTTTAATTTTAAGATAATTTTTAAAATATATAAAGGAAAAAAATATGTTAAAAACAATCAACTATTTTTTTATAGAGCTTAAGGTATGTATATCCTCCTATCCTTTACAAAATTTTTAATTATTAACGTTTTTTTCTGTGTCGTAAAAGCGTTTATTTGCCTCGGTCGTCTGCTGATGTAGCTGACCGAAACCCTGGCCACGCCCCTAATATGTCCGAGAATTTTCTCGCAGTTCAGCTGGGGATTTTTCACAAATCTGGCAAGTCGTTGTCGATGTCGTTGTGGGTCAGCAGCCAGTCAGCCAGCTTTGGTGGCCACTCCGCCGGCCTGGCAGTGAAAGTTTTCAAATTAAATTTTGCGACGCCATTTTCAATTAGAAAACTTCTCGGCCAAAGTCTCTCGCAGAAGCGCGACTCACTCGCTTTTCCAAAACGCCCACTAGCCAGCATTTCCCACCCGATTTTCACCATTCGCCTGCTTGTGCCACATCATCGGTTCAAGATGGCTTTAGGTTTTCAGTCTTCCTCTTTTTTTT